GCATGTTTTTAGCAAGAAGCTAGCATGATTAGCATGTAGCTAGCATCATGAAAGATGTTAGAAAGATGGATAGATTTGTTAGAAAGAAAGATGGATAGATTAGTTAAGTAGAAAGAAAGACTGATAGATTAGTTAGGTAGAAAGAAAGATGGATAGATTAGTTAGGTAGAAAGAAAGATGGATATACTAGTTAGAAAGAAAGATGGATAGATTTGTTAGAAAGAAAGACTGATAGATTAGTTAGGTAGAAAGAAAGATGGATAGATTAGTTAGGTAGAAAGAAAGATGGATAGACTAGTTAGAAAGAAAGATGGATAGATTTGTTAGAAAGAAAGATGGATAGATTAGTTAGAAAGAAAGAAAGATGGATAGATTAGTTAGGTAGAAAGAAAGATGGATAGATTTGTTAGAAAGAAAGATGGATAGATTTGTTAGAAAGAAAGAAAGATGGATAGATTTGTTAGAAAGAAAGAAAGATGGATAGATTTGATAGAAAGAAAGATGGATAGATTAGTTAGAAAGAAAGATGGATAGATTTGTTAGAAAGAAAGAAAGATGGATAGATTTGTTAGAAAGAAAGAAAGATGGATAGATTTGTTAGAAAGAAAGATGGATAGATTTGATAGAAAGAAAGATGGATAGATTTGATAGAAAGAAAGATGGATAGATTTGTTAGAAAGAAAGATGGATAGATTAGTTAGAAAGAAAGATGGATAGATTAGTTAGAAAGAAAGATGGATAGATTAGTTAGAAAGAAAGATGGATAGATTAGTTAGAAAGAAAGATGGATAGATTAGTTAGAAAGAAAGATGGATAGATTAGTTAGGTAGAAAGATGGATAGATTAGGTAGAAAGAAAGATGGATAGATTTGTTAGAAAGAAAGAAAGATGGATAGATTTGTTAGAAAGAAAGATGGATAGATTTGATAGAAAGAAAGATGGATAGATTTGTTAGAAAGAAAGATGGATAGATTTGTTAGAAAGAAAGATGGATAGATTAGTTAGAAAGAAAGATGGATAGATTAGTTAGAAAGAAAGATGGATAGATTAGTTAGAAAGAAAGATGGATAGATTAGTTAGGTAGAAAGATGGATAGATTAGGTAGAAAGAAAGATGGATAGATTTGTTAGAAAGAAAGATGGGTAGATTAGTTAGAAAGAAAGATGGATAGATTTGTTAGAAAGAAAGATGGATAGATGTGTTAGGTAGAAAGAAAGATGGATAGATTTGTTAGAAAGAAAGATGGATAGATTTGTTAGAAAGAAAGATGGATAGATTTGTTAGAAAGAAAGATGGATAGATTAGTTAGAAAGAAAGATGGATAGATTTGTTAGAAAGAAAGATGGATAGATTTGTTAGGTAGAAAGAAAGATGGATAGATTTGTTAGGTAGAAAGAAAGATGGATAGATTAGTTAGAAAGAAAGATGGATAGATTTGTTAGAAAGAAAGATGGATAGATTAGTTAGAAAGAAAGATGGATAGATTTGTTAGAAAGAAAGATGGATAGATTAGTTGGGTAGAAAGAAAGATGGATAGATTTGCTAGAAAGAAAGATGGATAGATTTGTTAGAAAGAAAGATGGATAGATTATTTAGAAAGAAAGAAAGATGGATAGATTTGTTAGAAAGAAAGAAAGATGGATAGATTTGTTAGAAAGAAAGAAAGATGGATAGATTAGTTAGAAAGAAAGAAAGAAAGATTAGGTAGATAGATAGATAGATAGATAGATAGATAGATAGATAGATAGATAGATAGATAGATAGATAGATAGATAGATCATTAGTACATATAGAATGGTAGTTTAATTGAGTCTAGGGCTTCAGGGAATTTAGATTTGAGTTTTTGTTGTACGCTATTGGGCCACCGTAGTCTTGGCTCAATTTGACCATGCTGCAATGAAAGTCAATGGGATTTTTATGATTTTTAATATTAATTTTTAAGAAATCTGAAAGTCGAATCAGTCTAAAAAGATATAGCACACTAAGTCAGAACAGTCTGAAGGTCTGACCCGAGTTTGGAGTTTGTAGAGTTAAAGCTCTAGGAGGAGTTAGAGTCAGAAAATTTTGAGTAAGAAGAAGAATAATAATAATAATAATAATAAGTTTAAATAGGATTTCAGTAAGTTGGCTTTCTCAAGCCAACTTAATGATTGTTATTCACGAATGCTTGTGAATACAGATATACAGCGTGATCGCTCTGCAGATTATTGCAGAAGTGAAAAAAATGTAAAAAGTGATCGAATGTTAATCTAAACATGTTTGTTTTATACAAAATATATATTTTTTATAAAATCATTTTAACCCTAAAATTGCTAGAAAATCAAAGCCATTATGTCTAAGATTACATCTGTGTAATACATGCATGTATACGGAAATCTCATGGGGTGCAAGAAAATATTTTGGCAAAGTTGTTTGGCTAAAAAATGTTTGGGAATCCCTGGTCGAGATAAGGATTTTCTGTTGAAATAAATGTGCGTAGTTGCTATAACCGGTCTGACATGCTATAATTCACCTGAAACTCATTTAAATGATTTTTGTATGATCAGTATGATAATTTTTTTTTAACTCTATAACTGTGGACTACATAAATGGTCCTGCAGTTTGACAAATTGAACAATATGGTGAAATAGTGACTAATTCCTTTTTATATGTAAATTTTTAATGTAAAATTGAACTTATTTAATAATATGTTTTTTTTTTATTCTTGCATGAAGTTGTAGCGAACTTTTAAAATTTACTGCAGGACAAAAATAGTGCAATTGTGATTAGTCACCTAATGCTTTCTCTTATATTGATACATTCATTTTAATCTAATTTTGGTGTTTGACAACTATGCTTTCAAATGTGGTTTCAGATCTAAAAGAGCACTTTTTTTATATATTTTTTTATAAATAAGACCAAAATGAGGTCTGGTTGTGGATAAACGAGTGCAGTGGTTAGTTTGATGGAAGTAAATAGATACTACAGAAGTCAAACACAATATTTGAGCTTGAGGAACTTTGATCTGCAAATATGATTGACTGAAAAACACATCAGTCTCTAATAAAAGCTTGTTTTTGACAGTGAGGTTGAACGTAGACTGTCAAATGTAATTTGTGAAGAGCTGAATCTGAACATATTTTACTATATGGAGCCGTTGATTCCACTCTGTAAAATGGAAATCAACAACTTACAAAATGTCATGTTACATCTGGTCAGGAGGAGTCAAGTTTAGTCAAATCAAATCATCTTTATTTATATATCGCTTTATACAAAACAGATTGTGTCAAAGCAGCTTCCCAGTAATAAACAGATTGCAAACTTCGTCAAATATGGAACAAATTCAGCTAAAAGTTCAGAGATGAAGTCAAGGAGGTTAGGTTTTCTGGCTTCGAATGAGCCCTGCAGGGCTTATAATGTGGACCGAACCCCCCACCGGCCTTTAAAAATGGATGATGTCTCTTTTATGGAACTTGAATTTCTCCCATGATGCCTCAGGAGCTTTATCTGCACCTCAGCTGTCATCACCCAGTCGTGTCGGCGTCATGTGATCAGTGCTTTTAAAACAAGCAAACTTGTTCAACAGCCGCGCGCGCCGATGAGAAACACTGTAAACAAGCGATCGAAAGCAACTTTGAAAAAAGACAGGTTTAGTGAAGGCCTGTGTTTTCAGGGTGTTGTGTTGTTCCTCTTAACAGATTTCTGATGAGTATGTGTGTGTTGCTTGGTCACTGTTTCTGTGTGTGTTAGTCTTCCCCGCTGAAAGAGTTATTGTGTGTGTGTGAATGCTGGCTGCACAACAAAGAAGGAATTTTGTGACGAGAACAAGAAGTAAAATATCAAGAGATGTTGTAAAAGAAGTTGAGAGAGAAACTTAAATGAATGTCGTCGATATACAGGGAGAATGAACCGGTTTGTGGTGTGTATTTGAGGGAGGTCATGTGCCACATGTTTACACACACACACACACATTTACTTCACTGTCTAAATGAGGACGTACCGTAGACTAATGTAAACAAATGAAACCTTTATGGTGAAGTGTTACCATATCATTTGACCTGAGCTAACATGAACTGACAATGAGCATTCATTTTTGTAAACTAATGTTATCAATGTTAACTAATGTTATGTGTTGCTCAGTGTCAGTGTTTTGCTGATCATTTACTCACCCCCATGTCATCCAAGATGTCCATGTCTTTATTTCTTCAGTCGAAAAGAAATTTAGGTTTTAGATTAAAACATTCCAGGATTTTTCTCCATATAATGGACTTCAATGGGGACCAAACAGCTCAAGGTCCAAATGAGAGTTTCAGTACAGCTTTAAAGGGCTTTAAACGACACCAGACGATGAATAAGGGTGTTATCTAGCGAAATGATTGGTCATTAAAAAAATAAATAAAAAAGTTTAAGTTTTATAAGCTCAAATGCTCGCCTTGCTCTGTTCTGTGAAGAGCGTTCGTGACTCTCCTGTTCGAACTCGTTCATCAAATGAGCAAATCTTTTTTTGAGTCATGACATAAGGGTCCTAGATAAGACCCTTATTCATCGTCTGGTGTCGTTTAAAGCCCTTTGAAGCTGCACTGAAACTCTCATTTGGACCTTGAACCGTTTGGACCCCATTGAAGTCCATTATATGGAGAAAAATCCTGGAATGTTTTCATCAAAAACCTTAATTTCTTTTCGACTGAAGAAAGAAAGACACGGACATCTTGGATGACATTGGGGTGAGTAAATTATCAGCAAAAGTTTTTTTTTTTACAAAGTTAACTACTGCTTTAATGTTATCTAATGGGACCTTATTATAAAGTGCTACCATCATTCCTCAGTCTAGAGCTGAGACACACACATCTTGTCTGACTCGTTGGAGGTTTTGTTGGTGATTAGGTTTTTTGCACACATGATCCTTCAGAAATCATTCTAAAATACGGATTTTCTCAAGAAACATTTCTTATTATCAATGTTCAAAACAATTACTTAATATTGAAATGCTGATGAAGTGTGTTTATGCGTGTGTGTTTCAGGCCAGCACTCTTCCACAGGGCACCATAAACCTGAATCAGTGTGTGGATGTTGTGGACGGTGAGAGCCGGACGGGTCAGAAACACTCGCTGTGCATCAGCACACCAGAGAAAGACCATTACATACGTGCTGAGAGCAAAGAGATCATACATGGGTGAGTTACACACACACACACAGATGAAGAATGAGTGTTAATTCAGTTGATCTGAAGATATATTGCCAACTGTTACTGTGATGATGATTAAAAATTACTATCCCACATCAAAATTTGTTTTCATTAACGCATGCACGCTCACTCCATGATCTGTTTGAGGTTTAATTGATGCATGTAATCATCAATATTTACTGATTTAGCACATTTTAATCCAAAATAAAGTATAAAAAGGGGAACACCACAAGCAATTAGATATAGAGTCAGCAGTGCTGTAAGGAAGAATAAAAATGCATTCATGCAGATAAGAATATAACAGCCACATCTATTATTTCTGGTGACCAACACCTGATAACCATATTGGACTGCAGGAGATGTCAAAGCTAACACGATTTTAATTTTAGAAATATGTTGCAGTGGCGTGATCTTAACTGAAAGAACAATTTGTATGCATCATCATTGTTCATCTGGTAAAGCTTGATGTGAAGGAATTACTGAAGTGGTCACTCACTGATATGTAAAATATGTTCATAAGTAATTACTAATTCCCAAACACTGGATATGTGTTCAGGTGGCAGGAGGCGCTGATGGTGTTCCCACGAACCAACAAACAAAACCAGAAGAAGAAACGGAAAGTGGAAACGCCAACTCCACAGGTACACACACACCACCTTATTTGGTGAATGACATCATTTCAGTTTCTTGCAATGTCATCTTTGCACAGATAAGCTCATAAAAATGTATTCCTTTTTATTCCTAGTTCTAGTTCTTAGTAAAGATGGTTTAATAGTATTTTGTTCTGCCAAGAAGGATCTGTTACCCAGGTCTTCTTGGAAGGCCAGTACACAACTTAGGGGGAAAAGCCTTTTAGTGTGTGATATTAAACTTGATTTTAATATTTTATATAAAAAATGTATTTTTTCAAGAAAAACAAAGACTTTAAAGCTATTATATATATATATAGAAATTGTATTAATATTTTTTAACATATAAAATATATTTATAATTTGTATATTCTTACATATTTATAGAAAAAACAATCCTAAACTCAGCTATATTTTTTATAACATATTTTAAAGATATCTAAATTATTATTTTATTTGTTTTATTCTTATTTTTTTAATGAACAAACATATTTGTATATGAAGAGTTCAGATGCAAAAGCCTCTAAATGCCATTTGAAATTTTCTTCTTTAATGATGATTTTTATCAAGCTTGTATATTTAAGTTCAGTAATTTTACTTAAATGGCAATGATAATTACCTATTAATTGTTATTTAAGTGAAATTACTGAACTTAAATATACAAGTTTGATAAAAATCATCATTAAAGAAGAAAATTTCAAATGGCATTTAGAGGCTTTTGCATCTGAACTCTTCATATATTTTTTTTTGTAAATATTTTATGCAGTTCTACGCCATTTTCTCAAACTCTATTTTCTCTTTAGTATTTCGGTTATGTATTTTATTGCTCAGTCCTGTAATTAATAGAATAATGGAATGCTTTAAATGGATTGTGTTTGTATTGTTAGGGTTCATTAACTTTGCTCTGACCTCCTGACCTGTGTTTTGTCAGACTGCTGCTCTTCACACAGGTCGATGTTCCCAGCAGAACATAAATGGGTTTATTGTAAGTCCAGAACCAGCACGATCCGACCAATCAGAGCACAGCACTGGAATCTGATCAATACATGAATTATGGGTGTTTTTGGAGATCACATGATTGGAAGGAACAAGAATAAATAATAATTCTCACGTGTGTGTGCTTCCGCTGGGATGCTGGGTGGCTCACACACACAGGCATGTGCGTGTTTGGTTTCATGCAGAAAAATACGCTGAGTGATTTTATGATTTAATCAAAAAGGTATTACTGGGCGGTCAGGTGGAAACAGGAAAGACACAGACGTTAATCTGCGAGTGTGTGTTTAGTGTGGGGTGTGGTGCTGAGCGTAAATCAGTGTGTGTATGAAATCATGGCACAATAGCTCATTTGTTATCAGACTGCAAGTTTAGACAGTTACATTCGTGTGTCTATCTGTCTGCACACACACACACACACACACACACAGGTGTTTTCAACATCAAAGAGCTCTTTGTTCTTGACTACGGGTTAGTTAAATATTATGCTAGTCTGAATGTTTCTCTCTTTCTCTGTGTTCAGGAACCAGGCCCTGCGAAGGTGACGGTCACCAGTACCAGCAGCAGCAGCAGTTTGGTGTGTCTTCCCAGCACTATAGCTCACGCTGAGCGAGTGCCGCCCACCCGGGCCACCCTGTGGCAGGAGGGAACATGGAGTCGGGCCACTTTACCAACAAGCAGCAGCACCGGCAGCCTGAGTCAACTGGGTACCAACACACAAACAATTTAATTGAAACTAACGAAAACAAGGTTATGACATGCAGTGTCAATAATTAGTTGATGAAATATTGAAATTACTTGTTTCCACAAAAACACTATTAAAATTTAGAAGTACGTAAATAACCTTGCACACCTAATCCGATCTATGTTTTGATCGTCGTTCAGAGTCTGATCCTGACAAAGTCTTTGACAAAAAGGCAGTTTTCTCAGCTTTTTTGTTCAAAATGTTGCTTTTTTTTATGAAACTTTCACTAACTTTTGCCTTGACTGTTCCAAGCTGGTGGAATAACTCGACCCGAACTGCTGAGTCATTAGCCATATGCAAGAAACTGCTGAAGACACATCTTTTTCATCAACACATGACCCCTTAATACTGACACTCACTATTCTATATTAGTAAAAAAGCAGAGGCTCTTTTTTTTAAAATAATTGTATAACAGCAGAATTCATAGTGAAGAACTACATTACCCCTGATTCTGCTAAATAAATTCCTACCATTTTAGGAATCGCAACAAGCTAATTTCGCCTTTAAATTAGCTCTTTAAACGAGTAGTTTACTTTTAAAAAAAAACTTTTGCTGATAATTTACTCACCCTCAAGATGTCATCCAAGATGTCCATGTTTTTATTTCTTCAGTCGAAAAAATCAAGGTTTTTGATGAAAACATTCCAGGATTTTTCTCCATATAATGGACTTCAATGGGGTCCAAACGGTTCAAGGTCCAAATGAGAGTTTCAGTGCAGCTTCAAAGGACTTTAAACGACACCAGACGATGAATAAGGGTCTTATCTAGGACCCTTATGTCATGACTCAAAAAAAGATTTGCTCATTTGATGAACGAGTTCGAACAGGAGAGTCACGAACGCTCTTCACATAACAGAGCAAGGCGAGCATTTGAGCTTATAAAACTTAAACTTTTTTATTTATTTTTTTAATGACCAATCATTTCGCTAGATAAGACCCTTATTCATCGTCTGGTGTCGTTTAAAGCCCTTTGAAGCTGCACTGAAACTCTCATTTGGACCTTGAACCATTTGGACCCCATTGAAGTCCATTATATGGAGAAAATCCTGGAATGTTTTCATCAAAAACCTTAATTTCTTGTCAACTGAAGAAAGAAAGAAATGTACATCTTGAATGACATGGGGGTGAGTAAATTATCAGCAAAAAGTTGTTTTAAAAGTGAACTACTCCTTCAACGTTCGCCCACGAAGCACTGCGAATGACGTAATAGTCAGTCTCCTTGTGCTTTCAAATCGCCTAAATATTTGTATCAGGGGTATTTCTCCCGAGGAGGCAAATGAGGCAGTGCCTCTTTAAAAATTGGATGAGAAAATAATCCACAGTACAAAAATAATACAGTGCAAATATTACGAAAGCATGTTTGAATCCAGCAGTGATACCAGCAGTCAAAGTCATGGCTGTTTTTAAATCACTATTGCAAAAAATTATGGGAAAAATAATTCTGGAGCCAAAACCTCTTAAAAGTTGGACGGACACCGTTGTACTCTATTGCAGTGGTGAGTTTTGGGGCAAATTCCTCTCAGAAAATGAGTTTCTGTCAAATTTTCTTCATTAAAATCTAGTGAAATATTTACCCTTGACTCCGAGGTCTGTCCCACTTCCACAGTTCACCATTGCCGTCATGTTCAGAACATGTGATTTTTATAATATTAAATGACATCACCAGCAACCCTTATTTATTTTGGTCTAAGAAGAAAGACGTCCACTTCACACATAATAAAGTCACCAGACCTCCAATTTCAGGCTAAATGAAAAGAACATTTAAATGCGTAGGTTCACTCACTCACAAAAACCACAGTAACTATCATTTCTGACCAAATACTACAGTGATTGTTACCTTAATAAAAATGTGGGAACGTGGTGTTAGTCATTAAAACCAGATCAAAATTCTCAAAGCGTCTAAAAGAGATCCCAGAATGATTTTACAGTAATATCTAGGTATTTTGTAAGGGTGCTGACTGTCTCTCTCACGCTCAGATTCGGGAAGCTTGAGTGCTGGTCGTAAGCCACGGGTGGAGAGCGGATATTTTTCCCTGGAAAAACCCAAAAACGAAGAAGATGAAGGACAACAGCATCAATGCCCGCAGGAGCGAGAGCCACTACCGCAACAACAGCCGCCTCTGCTTTCTTCCTCCTCCACATCACCCTCCTCTTCCTCACGCTCCAGGTATCTCTCATTTGATCCTGAGCTCTTCAGCTCTCCAGTCAGCTCACACACGTCACACAACCCACACGCTGCCACTAACACACAGATTCCCTGCGATGTGCGCATTGCATATGACGCCCGCACTCACCAACACAACACACAAGGACTAGAGGATCATCTTTCAGTGGACGCCCCATCATCCTCGGTGGACGTGGCCATCCCGGACACGCTCTCCAGTCCAAACTCACACACACGCCACGCAAACATCCTCCCGTCATCCCTGTCCTCTTCTCAGAGCTCTTTGGACTCGGAGCAGAGTCCCGAGAGCCGTGTGGGCAGGGCGGGTCGAGGCGGGCAGGGTTACGCCACCCTGGCAGACGTGCCGCGGGCACGGAGACTGAGTCACCGGGAAGCGTACCGACCCACTCAGAAGCGGCAGGAGCTGCGAGCACGCGCAAGGAGCCCGGGCCGGGAGGAAGTGGAACGACTGTTCGGGCGTGAACGAAGGTGATGAGTGATACACGCACACACACAAGCTCTGTTTCAAACCCATGTGACGCAGCCATCTTAGACAGCATTTACGTGAAGATGATAACCTATGGAACCTGAAGTCAATCAATCAAAACTTAACTTTAGCTGGATAATAAGCTGCTGGAAAGCCAAAACAGTCTCTGTTCCTTTCATTTTCTATTATCTAGAAATAATCTATACTGTTAAAAGCGCTGAATTAATGAAGGTGACTTGATTTGACTTGACGGCGTCTTTATTAGTAACTGATTTGAAATACTCTTCATTGGCAGAAGCTCTTGAAATGGGCATTCGTGTGCATCACACAAATAATGCTTAACCCTATAAACCTTACTACAGTATATAATAAATCATCAAAACTGCTGAAACAAAGTTATACATGCCTTATTCCGTCTGACTGATTCACTAAATTATGTTTTTTTCTTTTCAAGTATGAGCTCCATATGCTCATTTTATCATACTAGATGAGCCATAAAAGCCTGATCTATCAAATATGATACTCGACAAAAATTACATTGCAAATTACATAAACTGTTCCATTTTTTTTTTTTTTACTAACTGATTTTTCGAACTATTATTATATTATAATATGTAAGGCTTTACAGGGTTAATAATAGCAAATAATATTATTAACAAAAATAATGTTAACTAATAATATTATATTACAATTAATATTGTTAAAAACGTTCATGGTGTAAAATAAATAATAATAAATTAATTGAAAAATAGGCTGATATATATATTTTATTTTATTTTATTTTATTTTTTATTAAAAATAATAGCATAGCCTACACAAATACTTGATGAAATAGTTTATTTTTTATGAACTTTTAATTTAATTTAATTTAATTGTTCACTCCCCCTTTTTTATGGTTTGCTAAAGTGGCTTACTTAATAGCAAACATTTTCAGTTACTGATGTCATTGTAGAAATGTTGTTCTATTTCTTCCACAACGAGCTATTGAGATAATAAATGATTCGTCTTCATCTGGTCATGTGATCTCCGGTACTGTTTGGAATAGATTTTATGTGCTTATGATGCTTAAAAATGCTGTCTACTAGGTATGTAATTCACTAGAGTTTGTACCAGAGCCAATGACACACACATACACACACATTCTAGTTAAATATACATACATTTAATGCATCCCAGTAATGGAGACATTGATGTTTTATAGGCACATTATGCTTTATAGGTTATATTCTGATCGTAATTGAGCAGATACACAGTTCTGTACAGGGAACTGCAGATATGCAGCTACTTCCCCTGCAGTATTAACACAATCTGCTCGCTCAGACCGAGCCAACACGCCTGCTGTGTTTACGTCTCAGAGCGAGCGTGGAGGTTATATCTCCCTCTGCTGGAGCCGGCAGGAAAAGCCAGCCTGTTATCTGTCAATGACACTCAGGAAGAAGACGCAGGGAGGAAGCGCTGCTATCTGTCAGAGCACTTAGAATCATGACATTCATCTCATTCTTGCAGCTTTAGCGCCACCTAGTGAACACTGTATAACACTGAACTTCTAATCTAATCTCTCTTCCATTTTGTTGAAATCTCAAGGCAGAACTGAACCTTCAATTCAGTTCTGTATCTGTGATTTAAAATGTTTCTTTATTTCTGCACTGTCCTTTCATTTCAGTCTTTTTTGCTTTTTATTTGATCTGTTTCTCCTCTTTTTCAGGCAGTCTTCTGAAACTCTGCACTTCCTGCCCTGTGCCACGCCCTGCCACGCCCACTGACACACCCACTGCTTACTGTCATTCCACCTGCTGGGGCCAAATTATAACACACACACACACACACATCTCAGAATCAAAGACAAAAGCCTTTTCACACCGCAAGCAGTGCATATTTATTTCGGAAAAGCGATTAACAGTGAATTCAGGCTGCCCAAATATGCAGCACAGACGATTTAGTTCATAGCCTCACAATGAGGATCCATTTTGCTGAGATGATTTGGAATTTTTGAAGTTTTTTTGCTAAAATGGCTTAAAGGAGTAGTTCACTTTTAAAAAAAACTTTTGCTGATAATTTACTCACCCCCATGTCATCCAAGATGTCCACGTCTTTCTTTCTTCAGTCGAAAAGAAATTAAAGTTTATGATGAAAACATTCCAGGATTTTCTCCATATAATGGACTTCAATGGGGTCCAAACGGCTCAAGGTCCAAATGAGAGTTTCAGTAGGGCTTTAAACGACACCAGACGATGAATAAGGGTCTTATCTAGGACTCTTTGAGTCATGACTTGAAAAAAGATTTGCTCATTTTGATGAATGAGTTCAAACAGGAGAGTCACGAACGCGCATCACTGAACAGAGCAAGGCGAGCATTTGTGCTTATAAAACTTAAACTGATAATTTTGCTTGATAAGACCCTTATTCATCGTCTGGAATCGTTTAAAGCCCTTTGAAACTGCACTGAAACTGTCTTTTGGACCTTGAACCGTTTGGTTCCCATTGAAGTCCATTATATGGAGAAAATCCTGGAATGTTTTCATCAAAAACCTTAATTTTCTTTTCGACTGAAGAAAGAAAGACGTGGACATCTTGGATGACATGGGGGTGAGTAAATTATCAGCAGTTTTTTTTTTAAGTCAACTACTCCTTTAAATGTTGCCTCACTCAATAGCAAACGTTTTCAGTTACTGATGCTATGGCAGAAATTTTGCTTGATTTATTCTACTTCTAGCTACTGAGATGGAAATGATTTCTGATTCATCTGGTCATGTGATCTCCACCCCCATGAGGTTCCACTATTAGCCCTCTTATATGCAATATATACATTAATAACAGCCATAATTATTCTAAAGGAAATGCTAAATGTGGTACCCCACAATGCTCGGTGTGAAACGGCTGTAAAATATGAATTATTCCTACTAACACATGGGTGTACACTGGCACAAAGACTGACTGCTGACTGGGGTTCTGCTCATGCCTGGTTTCCTGTGTCTGTCCCTCTGCTCTGCCATCTGCTCGTATAAGACATCAAAAATTCATCTTGTTAAACAAATATTGCAAATCAATGACATGCTAACATCCCAGATACTCTCTGTTGAGAAAAGCCTTGCCGTTTCAAACACTAAAATCTTCCTTAAGGTAATTTTGTTGAAGGAAGGATGACAATACATGGCAAAAGTTGCTACATTATAAATAAAAAGTGATTTTTCAACACTACTTATAATAATTACATTACACCGGCTTTTAGAACAGGAATCTGTTTTATAATGAGAAACTGTTTCCTTTCCTTTGTTTGAGACAGTGTTATGACCGTGTTCGGCTTATTTATGGGGTCAGTTTCAGCTGGTTGACCATTAGCGAACAGAGGAAGTGATTTTTCATTTTATTTCTCAAAAATATGCTCCAGCAGCATCCTTCCTCTAGATGTAAACATCCTGCAGTGCAGTGTAGTTTATTTATTAATGCTTTGTTAATGATTTAACTCTATTTGGTTTTGTTTTACCCATTATTTTAGACAAATCTCAGGGTCCAAAAAAAGGTATGAGAAGATCTGCGATGAAAGGAAAGCATCTCATTATGCCACATGTTGCATTGTTTCTGTTTTGACCTGTGTGTGTGTTTTGCTGCAGACGCTCACAGGTCATTGAGAGATATGAGTGTCATGACGCTGTCAGCACTCCAGAACAAATGGACACAACGAATTCTTTAACAGACCCCGCCCCTTCTTACTCTAAAACAGCCAATCAGAGAGCAGGACGCAATGAGAAACGGCTCTCCAACCAGAAACAGGTACTCATTTAACATGGTGTTTAATTCATGATTATACAAGGGGGTTTTGTTGTAAAAACTGTTTTGCATCTGTTGATAATAGTGTATAAATTGCAGTATAGCACTTTGAGTGTGTGAAATTTTTGCTATTGTTCAGTTAAGAGTTCAATCTGGATCATCCAATCAAATTTCAGAATCAGAACTGTCTGTTTTATAATGATATTTCAGGGAGGCGTAGGAGCATCAGTAATCATCAGTAATGTTTCTCTGAATTCATTCATTTTTAATTTAACTGTTGCAGGATTTCTCACTGGATTCGGCTAAAGGCCGGTCGGATGAGGATTATTCACTGGCCGGTTACCGAAGGGCCAAAAGTCTGGATCGCAGAACCACAGAAACACTCATGACTGTAAGACCACATAAATAACACTCAAATCCCCATTAATTAGGGTTATAAATAATTGACAAGATTTTTTGATTGCGGTAGTGTATTAAATCAAATTGCGTTGGTAGTATTTTAATGGTTATTAAACATAACATAGGTAGAATTAGAATTAAATTATAAATAAAAATATAGAATTTATGCTGGCTAATATTAAGTCATGACTGAATTTTATAGATTTTTTAATTAAATAAAATTTTAAAAATTGTACATTTTGTGAATGAAATCGGCCTTAATCAATTGTTTCTCTGAATTGCTATAATTGCATTGTGAGTGTTTCAAAAGGGACCTTTAAAGACTGATGTGCATGAACTCTCACTTTGTTGTTTAGAATTATATTGCATTTAATGCAAAATCGAATATGAACCATATAAACTAAAGTTTGTTTAGAAAATCCACTAATATAATTAATTACTCGTAAGAACACGGCGTGTTTATTTCTAAGGGGCTGCGAGGCTGTGAGAGTGTCTGTGTGTGTTTCAGCTGTTAGCACTGCGTTCATGCAAACCCGACCCAGAACCACTTCACCACCCGTGATTATAAATAGCATTCACTCAGAGCGTTAGGACCAGAGACACATGCCCAAACACACACATGCACACATGAGAACACAGATTCATGTTCATACACACAGAAAGACGGCATGTGAGTCGGAAGTGTGTGAAGAACAGGTCACAGATGAAACTCAACAAGACTAAGGTACTGTGAACGCCTGGTGGGTGTGATCTTCCCTGGACTAGATCTGCTCAATACTGCAGATGGTAGAGCGTTTGTGTTATTATTATTGAAGATTAGTTTGTTTATGGCTTTGTGAGGTACCACTGCCTGTTCAAATCAAGCAGTTTATTTGTTTCTTTCTGACTTATGGCGATGGTTTTATGATGCTGAAGTAATTTTTAGGACTTTTTAAGCACTTTTTAAACTTAAACCTAAACTAAAAAATATATACATTTGTCTTTTCTATATTTGTTTTGTTGCATTTAAATTAACATCGATATTAACATATTTAATAGATACAGTATGTTATATTGTTGTACTGTTATACTGTTGATGTCTTATTTAAAAGAGTTTACATGTAGCTTATTGCATGTAAAGTACTTTAAAACAGCATTTTAAAAAATCATGAATTGTGAACCAATATCTCACTGACAAAAATTGCAAATTATATTATCGAGAACAACAGGGACAAGCCACTTTTTCGATGGCCTGGGTTGCAAAAATATATTAGCATTTTACTATATCTATAGGCATATATATTGTATTTTTTTAATAAATTCTGTTGATTTTTCTCTGTAGGCGAGATACTTTATTTTTTTCAAGTGCAAAGATTAATCTCATCCAAAATAAAAGTTTGTGTTTACATAATATATGTGTGTATGCTGTTTATAGTTATTTTGTATATATAAATTCATATGCATGCATGTAGATATTTAAGATTTATTTGCGCAAAATACTGTGTGTGTGTATATATATATAAATACATAATCTATATTATATATTAATATTTTTATATGAATAACACATTTTCTTAAATATATACATGCATGTGTGTGTATTTATATATACAAAATAATTATACACAGCACACACACACATATATTATGTAAACACAAACTTTTATTTTGGATGCGATTAATCACAATTAATCTTTGCACGGCCCTAAAAAAGTATTTAAAAATCCTAAAAAACAGGGTTGAAAACTAATAACTAGAAGTTAAAGGGATTCATTCATGAAACACAGGTTAATGTAAATCATTTATAAATCCATTTTTGAGTGAATTGTTGCATTGAATTTTAGTTTGTGGTCACAATTTGCTGTTCTTGTTAATGTTTGAAGTTTAGAAATTGTATGTTTTTGTTCTCATCTCTTTTCAGCCGGACCTGCTGAACTTTAAGAAAGGATGGATGACCAAACTGTACGAAGATGGATTGGTGAGTCTAAAATGAACCAGTGAACGTCTTAAACGGCTTGTCTGGGCGTTTATTCAAAAGTTTGTTCTGCTTCTCTCTCTCTTGGTGTCTCAGTGGAAGAAACACTGGTTCGTTCTGACCGATCAGAGCCTGAGGTTCTACCGTGACTCCATCGCTGAGGAGGTGAGTGTTTTCATCAGCGATTGAAACGCCGCTGTTAACTAACTTAACAATGTCCCTCGTGTCCCTCAGGCTGCAGATCTGGACGGAGAGATCGATCTGTCCACGTGCTACGATGTGACCGAATTCCCAGTTCAGAGGAACTATGGCTTCCAAATCCTCGTGAGTGATGTTATTTTATTGTTTTGGTTGTATTTTACCCATATAAAGACTGTGGTGTTGTAGGGCTGGGCGGTATGAATATACACAATAAAAAATAAAGGTTCCAAAGGTAAAGCCATACAGGTTTTTGGTTCCCCACAGAACCTTTCAGTGAACCGTTCTTAAAGGAACCCTTTTCCATTATAAAGAACCTTTTATGGAATGGGTTCCTAAAAAGGTTCTTAATGGAACCATCGATGCCAATACATTTTTTTTAAAGAGTGGACCAGTGATGTACACTATAGAAGTTTTCTTTATTTTAAAAAGAAGTCCCTTATGCTGCATTTTTTTTTTTTTGATGAAAAATGCAGTAAAATTGTGAAATATTATCCAGTACTACTGATAGTAATAAAAAAATGTTTCTTAAACAGAAAATCAGCATATTAGAGTGATTTCTGAAGGATCATGTGACACTGAAGAGTGGAGTAATGATGCTGTAAATTCAGCTTTGCACCACAGGATTAAATTCTATTTTAAAATATACTGCAATGGAAAACATTTATTTTAATTTGATATGTTATCATTTTGCAAAGTTACTGTTTTTACTCTGTGGTTGATTACATAAATGACACCCTTTCACATCAGCATTACACTCTTCTTTCAAAAACATAAAATAAATCTTAATTATTCCAAACATAGTGTATATAACATTTGTTTATGTATATACCAAAGCTGGTCAATGATCTAACCGTAAAAAGATCCTTCCACATTCTCGTAAAAAATAAATACGACCTCACGTTGTGTCAATCGCACTCTTGACCCTAAACTCGTACTTTTTTATTCGCGCTCTCGAGTTATTGATGCTAGACAAATATGTGACTAGGATTGCAGTGGTATGTTTTCACACCTAAATAAAGCCCCGGTGATGTTATCTGTAACCCTAACACTGTTCCTCACTAAGCATTGTTTCATCACTAATGTCACCTGATCTGTCAGCAGCCGTGACATCATCACTTCCCTCTAAAATAACCAGTCCAATGCCATACTTCAGACGTCTGTCTAATACTCTGTGTCCTCCACTAAAGGCCAAATACATTTTTTTTAATATCAAATATATGCTTTTAATATCAATGTTGTAAGTTTTTTGATTTTCCCGGATAGACCTTTTAATTGGCAAATTAGTAATTTCATCTGGTGGATGCCAAAATGGGCAGAAGACTTCAGAAAAAGTAAAAATATAATGATAAAGTTACTGTGTTTTATTAATAAAGCTGTTGAGATGCGATTGATATTGTGTGGTGGAATGACTGTAGGTTCCTTGGTGCTGTTTTTGAAGTTATTTTCGAGATGTCAGATATAGCAGAAAGCGTTGGCCGCCTCTGTGTACAGACGAACAGCGGGGCGTCAGTGTCAAGAAATGAATAACAACTGTAAATATAACTTCAGCCTGCTATCTTTATGCCTTGGATTGAGAATGCCACGGATAAACTAACGTAAGACTAAACTCCCATCTTGCCGTCGGATCTGTCAGATTCTGTATATCATAATCTTTTATTCCAGTATGTGATTGGACCATTTCTGGTGATATACTCTTGTTACTGTGAGAAAGATGCTGGACTTTAGTGAATTTGCAAGGTTCCCACAGTCGTGGCAAAATGGAAATGATTATATCCAGGGCAGGCCTATAAAAATATATCTTTGCTCAGATAATATTACCTTCAATTAATATAATTTTTATTGGTTTGCTCAGCTCTGAAATATTTATATGTATTTATTATATTTAATATTATAATATAAATATTATAATTTACATTTTATTATATTTAATTGGATCTAAAATATTAAGAGCTGAAAAAATAATAAAGAAAATCTTAATTGTTTGAGAGTGGTAAAAAAAATAGTACAGGATAACCTTTGAATTATTATTTTTAATATTATCATTTAATATTATTTAATATTATTTAATTTAATATTATTTAATATTATAAGTACACTTGTTAACTTTTTTAAATAACGGTCGTTCAGTAATCATGACTGGAAAAGTCTTGTGAAAAGTTATAGAAACTCATTAGATTTACAATATACTCTGTGGCGCTTGTAATCGAATTGAACAGGGAAACGAAGTCTCTTTTAGTTCAGCTGTCATGCATCTGATCAATCGACTCGGTGTCCTTGTCTTCCTCTCAGAGTAAAGAAGGGGCGTTCACACTGTCTGCCATGACCTCTGGGATACGTCGAAATTGGATCCAGGCCATTCTGAAGAACATGCGGCCCACCGTCGCTCCTGATGTCACACGGTGAGCTTCAACATCATGTTTAGTTCGAAAAGTGTGGAGAAAGAACTTCATCCATTTATGAATTAGACTTCCCTCACCCAAAAATTGTGTAAATTCTGTCAGTAATCACTTGTTCAACCCCGTTCAAGACTGTCAATCATCTTCTGAACACAAATTAAGATGTTTGTGTTTATCACATAAGTTATGTTATTAAGTTTCAAGTAAAGTTTTACCAGCTTTTCTATGGAAAGATGTCAACTTCCATTTTTTCCTCTTGAGATTTCCTGTTTTTATCATTATTTTGGTTCCTAACTTACCTGTATAATTTATTTTCTTGTTTTTCCTGCTCTGTTTATCTGACCACAGGAAAAATGTGTCTCTGAAACTTTCAGTTCTTATGCCCAGGTTGGCATTTCCTGTTCTTATTCAAACCTGTGTGTGTATTTGTGGCCGCTGTTGTGTCAGCTGAGTTTAGCGATGTGTTTCGTGATGTTCTGGCTTCTATCTGTTATGTTAGTAGTTCCTGTTCCCTTTCTGCTTCTGTCGCTTGCCTGTTTGCTACATTTATAATGGGGCTGTTAATGTTTCTTTAGTACGCTTAATTGTATTACAAACATAATGGAAAGAGATAAATGAAATTGAAGCGCCTTCAAAAATGTATCTTTAGTTCATTTGGAGTGTGCTGTGTGTGTGTGTGTGTGTGTGTGTGGCCAGATTATTTATCATAGTGGTGCTGGTGTTTTCTGAGCTTTTAATTTTTGAAATTCATAAATAATGTTTAACAGCATTAGTTACATTTATTTAAACCACGTTAACCAGTCACAACATGATAAAGTGATACATGTGAAATCCTGTCTGACTGAGGGACCTTTTGTCAGCTTCACATTGGATGGACCTAAAATAAACCTTTTCATTATGGACAGACAACTTAAAATAAAGTCATATAAAGACGCATATTTTTATAGACATTTATATTTAAAAAAAATAATGCATTAAAACTAAATGTAATAGATTTTTGAAAGGAAAATATTTTTAAAAACTTAAATATATTTTACAAGCATATTTCAGCAAGTTTCATCTATTGACAGTTTTTGTTGAAGAAACTGGTAAACAGGATGGCAGGTACAGCACAATTTATGTTTACACTTGGTCATTCTCCCTATTTCTTGTTGTGATGTTACATCACCTCGTTCTTTGAAGGAGATGAAAAATAGCATTGCATCAGTGCCCACTTTTAGAACACACCCTGCAGCGTGCACAGACACACATGAGTGTTTACCGACATGTTTGACAGTGGTTGAATGCCATGCAGTGATCAGATGGTTTTCCTCACCCTACTAACCATTAATCAAACAATCCTGTCTTCAGTGGTTTGGGTGTGTGTGTGTGTGTGTGTGTGTGTTTTTTCAGACAGCTGTAGTCTTTGTTAACACTGTGCATGGTTAACAGCACATTTTCATCTTGGTATATAGAGGGTATGCGTTTGACATCACCGTCAGCCTGAGTGACTGCGGTTACGCCCACTGAGTGGCAAAAAGACTGAGTGGTAGCATTGGTTTTCAGTGAAGAACACACAAAACGCATCTAAAATGGGAAAGAGCTTTGAGATTGACTGTACAAATACATTTGACAAGAAATCTGATGTATATTTTTACAAACTGCTGAAAGTTACAGAAAAGAGAAGCAAATGGATCAATGCAATTCATAGAAACAACTGGACTTCAGGCAGCGAAAGGTTATTTATTTAGTCAATATGCTGAATTTTAGGGTAAAATTATTTATTGACAACTCATGAATTAAATATTTACCATTGTATATTCTACATAATTGGATGTTTTAAAAAAAAACATGGACAAAAAATGTTTTAGGGCTGGACGATATGATGATATATAAAGAGTTCAGATGCAAAAGCCTCTAAATGCCATTTGAAATTTTCTTCTTTAATGATGATTTTTATCAAGCTTGTATATTTAAGTTCAGTAATTTCACTTAAATAACAATTAATAGGTAATTATCAGTGCCATTTAAGTGAAATTACTGAACTTAAATATACAAGTTTGATAAAAATAGAAGAAAATTTCAAATGGCATTTAGAGGCTTTTGCATCTGAACTCTTCATATATATATATATATATATATATATATATATATATATAACATTGATATAAGTGATCACCGGATTTAGACCTACCTATATTGTATTCACAGGCAAATTTGCTATATGTATTTCCCCAACGTCTAAATCAGGCACATGTACTGTAAATGTCAGGAACCACGATTCCTGGCTGCCTTTCAATATTCATGGAGCATTGGATTTTTTGTTGTAAGGAACACTTTATCAAGTCCAACCTTTCATTTAAACTATTAAATCCAGTCTCTCAGCAGCTCTTTTGCCACTCAGTCCGACTGAGGGGATGTGTTCTGGTGGGAAAGTGACGTCAATGCATACCCTATAGTTATGTCCACAATTAGGTATTACCACAATTTTGGTAACCACCCACAATGCCATATGCAACAGTTCTTTGTGGAAAAAAAAAAATATTTAGGGAGTGGCAGTGATGCTTACCTTAGCAAGCACCAATAATAATTCAAATACAAATAATTGATTCAGTATCTTCTCTTTTCACAGTTCCCTTCCAGAAGAGCGAACCAGATCAAATGTGGAGCAAAACTTCATCCAACCCCCTCCTAACTCTTCACAACTCTCGAACAGCTCTGTAGTTGAAGCAAAAAAGTCACACGAGGTCATAACAGACTCTGCGCCTCCTCCCGAGCTAAAGAGTCGGGTCAACAAGCGAGAGGGGCGCTCTAAAACATTTGACTGGTCCGAGTTCCGGCCAGGGCAAGAAAACGAGAACGGACAACCCCCAATGAAGAGAGCAGACACTTCAGTCACTATCTCATCTTCACCCTCCCCTCCCATCTCTAGCGCCTCCTCTCATCAGACGTCGTCCTCCATTACTACCACCAGCGATACTGACAAGTTGCCACAGCGAGATGAAGAAGTGGTGCAGGAATATATGCACCACCATCAGACCACACCGACAGCATCTGCAGTCCATGCGTCAGAGCTCTCGTCAAAGCTCCCCCATAAAGTGCCACAGGAACAAGGAAAAATGGATGTGGACCAACTCAGGGACACGCAGGAGGTTGATGGTCACCGCAGAAACTCTAATGTCCAGGTGGAAATTGAGCAGAGGTGGCAGCAGGTTGAAACAACGCCCCTCAGAGAGGAAAAGCAGGTACCGATCGCGGGCAGCTCCCCTAACACCTCAAATACACCTGCCATTCCACAAGAGATGACCACCGTACTGGAAAAGGAGGTAAGAACCATCAGTATTTAGTTCTTGCCTCATTTTCCATCATAAAATGATGAGTATGTGCTTATGCCATCTACTTGGGTTCTCATTCAAATCTGTTTTTCACTGATGTTCACAGTTAGGTCAGGCTCAAAGGGAGCTAGCCAGACTCCAGCAGCAGAACAGTGTCTTACAGGAGCAACTTCAGGATGCGCGTGGGAGGGAGCAGAACGCCCGGGAAGGATATGTACTGCAGGTACCCAAACAGAACTAAACTTAGCCAGAAAAGATACAGAAATCAAAATCTTCTGTAGTTTTTGTGGCACTTTCTTTTTTGATTTCGATACTAATATAATTTTGGGTGTTAATGAAACTGCCAGCATGAGTGGTACTAACTGCAATGTCTTTCTTTCCCTGGGCTCTGACTGGGTTTTGGTTAAAACTCTTGTAACCAAACTACAAGTTTTCTGAAGATAACAAATGTGAACATCTGGCAAGCTTTCAGCTGTGCTTTTCTGTTTTTTTGTTTGTCGTTGTCTCATTCATCTCTTGTTGTCATCCTTTGCATAATTTGCATGGTGTTATCATTCCTCTGTTCTTCATTTTCCTTTAGTTTCTGTTTTATAATCTGGTGTAGTGTTACTCCATCCTTGTATTTTCTTTTCTGTACAGTGTCATTTATATTATCCACAAAGATACAGTTGCATTCTGTAGTTCCACAGCCTCTTTAGATCATTTATTTCCCTTTTTAATTGTGTTACTCACATTTTCCCTCATTGTTGAGCACCATTTTCTCCATCTTTGATGTTATCTTGAAAAAGCACAGTGGAAAGCTTGAGTAAGTATGTAGCTTCGGAAATTGAACTCCAAACGTTCCTGGGTCCCCAGCCACAGCCTAGAAGACGTTGAACATCATGTATGTGGCCATAAAAGAGAAGACTTCCTGTTACTAATTGTACTTTCCTCTTAATCTCTTAAAGAGTGACACAACCACCGCAAAGCCTTCGTCTGATGCAGTGTCTACCCCTGTTCACCGAGCACCATGGCAGCGCCTCAGCAAACTGAACCAGGATCTAAAGTCCGAGCTGGATTCCCAGCGTCGGAAGCAAGACAAGTCCAGTCAACAAGTTGGCAGCTTGAGGCGTAGCTACAGCGAAGCAAAAGATATCATAGGACACCATGAGGCAGAGATCGAGGCCTTGGAGGAAAAGCTAACGGCTGCCATGGCGGAGATTGTCGTGAGCGAGCAGGCTGTGGCACGAATGCGTAGCGAGCTGAAAATTGAACGGGTTCGCTGTCAAGAACGTGAGGAAGAATGGGTCCGAAACGAGGTGACACTGCGGTCACAGTTGCGAGAGAGCGAGGAACGTTTACGTCAAGTTGAAGCCAGTTTGCTAGAGAAGAGCCAGGAGTTGAGGCAGCTCGAACAGCAGCAAGCTTTGCAGAAAGACCAGCACAAAGACGTGCAGAGGTTACAGGAGAGACTCTCTGAGGTCACTGGGCGCCTGATTTCCATTGAGGAGGCTCAGACTATGAGAGAGGAGCGGGAGAGAAAAGAGCAGCGGAGCCTGGAGGAGAAACATGAGCGGGAGCGACAGGGACTGACCTGGCGGTTGTCAGAATCCGAAGAGAGGCGGCGTGAAGTAGAAGAGCAACTGCAGGAGGCACAAGAACAAGTGGAGGCGCTGCTGAGAGGGAGTGGTGGGATGCAAACTATGGGACTCAGGGATGAAGTACATCGTCTTCAGCAGGAGTTGGAGGTGCAGACGGAAATGGTGGAAATGTTGCGGGAGAGTGTGATGAGGCTGGAGGAGGAACGTGACCAGCTTACTTGCCGCTGTCAAGAACTCCTCAATCAGATTTCCGAGGCCGACCGAGAGGTTGGAAAGCAACAGGCATGTTTAACGACGGTGGAAACGGACTATCACTCCCTTGAGAGCTCGTACGAGCGCGTCTCGGAAGAATTTGCTAGGATAAGTCAAGTGCTACGAGAGAAGGAAGAGGAGGTGAAGCAGACAAAGCAAATGTACGAGCAGCTAATCAGACAGAAGGAGCAGGACTTGAGCGAGGCTCTAATAAAGATGGCTGCCTTAGGCAGTAGTCTAGAAGAAACAGAGGTTTGCTTGCAGCAAAAAGAGGAACTTCTTTCTAAAATGGAGCATGACTATCCAGGACTGGTAGAGTCCCGAAGAGTAGAACAGGAGCTACAGGCAAAACTGGTGGTTGCAGAGGACCGAATAGCTGAGCTGGAGGAACACCTCAATGCCCTGCGACTTGGATATGCAGATCTCAGAATTCGACGTTGTCGCTCCCAGGAAGACATGCTTGAGGGTTTGAATGAGATGCAACATGATGTTTCCTCATCCTCAAGTCTCTCCCAACTTCCTATTGCAAGAAGTAGCTCAGAGACGGAAATGTCCTTGGTAAAGCGGCAGAGGATTCGCTTTTCCACCATCCAGTGCCATTCCTATCAGCGGTCCCAGGGAGCAGACAAATTTCACATGGAAAACACGTCTTTGGATCTGACACAAGATCTGACCCTAGACCACGTGCATGACCTGAGCCTGACCCAAGATATCAGTGTAGCCAGTGACGGTTCATTCCAGCAGTGCAGAGATCCGGAGAAGTTCATCTCCATTATACATGCTCTGGAAACCAAACTATTGGCCACAGAGGAGAAACTCAGACACCTCACTGAAAAGATACGGGACCAGCCTGATCTCTCAGCGATGCAGAGCACTAGAGCAACCATGGAGGACTGCACGACTAAAACCTGTGATGAATTACCAATGGATGAATCCAGCCAGAAATCCCTCAAGACTTTTGGTGAGCAAGACACCGATGAATATGAGAAGGCATTGGCACTGGTAGAGTCTTGCACAGAAAAAGTCAGAGAAATTCTTAGCAATCAGAAAGAGACCAGTTCTACTGAATCTCTCATTTGTACCCTTGCAGAAGTAGAGAAACTGCTGGTTTGTGCCACCACGTACCTGAGGAAGGGCGGCACGTTCTATGAATCGTGCCCGATCTTTGATCCTGCAGATGTGCAATCAAGGAAGGAAAGTATAAAACAGTTTGCCAGAACATTATCCTTTGAGGCTGAAGTTCTAGAGAGGATGGGGTTCTCTCTGCAGGACCTGAACTCTGATATTATGTTGGCCCTAAACTCCATTCACAAGGATGCTGAAAACATCAAGAAGGACTGCGATGGCTGTCTCTCAATTGTTTATGCTGATGTTCTTACAAGAAAACTTGCGCTGGAGACCATGTTCTTGGCAGAGGTGGACAAGCTTGAGATGGGTAAACTAGCAAATAGTGCTTTCTCACAGGATGTCATCAAGAATGCCTGCGTTAGTGCCGAGCTTGCCTATTCACTTCAGAATCTAACAATGAATTTTCAGGAAAAATTTGATGAGCTTCAAAAGGACTTGGTCAAAGCAAATGAGGCTTTAAAACAAAGAGACACGGCTCTGAAAGATGCTGTTAGTGCATCAAAGCATGCTCAAATTGAGAGCAATACTGATCATCTTGCTGATGTCTCTCCTCCTGAACTTGCTCCCTACATGGAGCAGATTGAGATGGAGGAAGCTCAAAGTTTAGCAGCAGAGATTGTCCGCAGACACTTAGCCATTGGCACACTTGCCCATAGTGCAGAATCAGAATCACATCTGCAAACAGGCTGGGAAAATCTCATTGCTGAGCTCAAGAAGCAAGCAAAAGCCCTTCGTAATCTCTCTCAGGAAATCGAGAGGGTTTGCGAGGAAGGGGAAACAAATTCACTTTCCGGACTTGCGAAAGCCATCCAAATGAGGTCGTGGCGCAGCGACTCCAGCTCGGTTTGCATGCGAGAGGCCTTGATGCAGGTTCAGGTCACGTATGTTGCTTGCAGATTGCGAGCAGGTCACACGAGGGAACTTTCTCTTTGCCAGGAGACTAGCCGCAACATGGCAGTGCTCGTCCAAGAACACGCCGAGAGTGTTGCGGCCATCCAAAGGCACTACCAGAGCTGCGTAGAGAAAGAGCATCTGAGCTTCACTGACACTATAAGTTCCCTGCAGGAGGAGAATGACATGCTTCGAGGGGAACTATCCTATAAGCTCAGGGAGCTGCAGGAGCAACGGCAGAACTTAAACCAGTTGGAAGAGGAGTTTCAAAAGGAGAAGGAGGAGCTGAAGAGCAGGCATGCAGAAGAGATGGGAAGGGCCAAGCAGGACCAGATAACCAGAGAGCTCGACTTAATGGAGCGTGCCGCAAACAACCAACACCGGCTGGAGACCCTGCTGCTAGAAATGGAAGATAATGAGTTGAGGCACAAAGAGCACATCCAAAAACTTGAGCAGGATTTTCAGAGTAAGGTCCAGGAGCTAGAACACACCAACAGAGAGGAGCTCCACAAGCTACAAGAACGCTACAGCCAGACCATCTGCTCATTGGAGGAGAGGAACGAGAAAGTGGAGAACAAAGCTGAGGTCGACGTATGTCCCATGGAGGAAGGGGACGCATCTGATCAGGTAACGTGCAGGGATTCAGAGTCCTTGCTCCGAGTCCGGGAGCTGGAAATGCAGTTGAGCCGCATGAGAGAGGAGCTGGAACAGAAACCACTGGATGGAGATCTGACCAGCCTGAGGGAGAAGTACCAACGAGACTTGGACAGCCTCAAGGTTTAACCTTTCACCTTTCAAATTTAATGTCGCACCCATCCCACCGCCATGGCGTCATGTTTTTAGATTGTTGCTGTTAATTTGGGTTGCAGTGGTTTTAGCTGATAATCGTTTTGGGAATATTGCTTATTGCATTTATTTATACAAGTTTTAGAAACAGTGCACATTTCAAAATAGTTATGTATTTTATATAAAATAACTGCAACCCTGTAGCCCCATAACCATGAAGCTTTCCTTTTTTTTCAATGCTTTAGTGGACATTAGCTGCACTGGGAGTTTTGAGCACACACAATGACCATGATTGACACCTATCACAAATTACTCTTTACTTTTACTGTGCTCAAACATGCTTACTGTGTTCAAAACGCCTTGTGTTTTTAGTGTTAGCTTTGTTGTCTACTGTGTTAGTGTGATTGCATGAATTTGCACTAGTCGATCAATCATGCTGATTTGATTTCATTCCTCTGTGCTATCTGTCATTTCTCATCACATGTTTAAATGATGATCAAGATGAATGCAGCCATCCCCTTTGATGCCACTCAACACTGTTTGTAACTTCTATTTGCTTCTGTAGCCCTGTAGATAGTAGGGCTGGGTAAAGATTGGTTTTCTGATTGAGCTTTTCATCTACAATTGGTTTATATTGATTCTTAAAATCCCCAGACTGATCATTTTATGTATGCCTTGTCAAATAATGCATTGCAAAATTCTTTGAAGACTCCAAAATTGACCATTAATGTGCCAAATGCATTTGCTGAGTAGATTTTATAAACGTTCTATCCACCATCAAGCCACCAAGACGGTGTACCAAGAAAAATGCACCAAGACCATAAAGACAATAGATACCCAGCCCTAGTAGAGAGCCAGCTAGGGTAGATAGATTGTGTTTGGTGTTTGTGGTCTGATTTTATTTGTGGAACTCAGGCAACATGCGAGCGTGGATTTGTAGCAATGGAGGAGACGCATCAGAAGGTGATAGAGGACATTCAGAGACAGCATCAGCGGGAGATCCGGAAACTTCTAGAGGAGAAAGAAAGACTGTTGGATGAGGAAACAAATGCCACTATTGCTGGTAATAAAAGCACCACTACATAAAATACACCAGTTTCAGTTGAAGCATCACAGTAGATTGTTTTGTGCGCAGCGATTGAGGCCATGAAAAATGCTCATCGCGAAGAACTGGAGAAAACGCAACGGTCGCAGATGAGCAGTGGGAGCGCAGACATCCAGGAGCTGCGCAGACAGTACGAGTAAGGCACCAAACATCCCTGTATCTGCACAAATCACTCTTGTCATTAAGAAGATTTACGTTTATTCATTAATGCTTTTAACCAAGTTTTGATGTGTGTTTATTTTGTGTTCATGTAGAGAGGAGTTGCAGTCTATCTATCGTGAACTGGAGGTTTTGTCTGAGCAATATTCTCAGAAGTGTTTGGAAAACGCACATTTGGCTCAAGCGCTGGAAGCAGAGAGACAGGCGCTGGGGCAGTGCCAGCGAGAGAACCAGAAACTGCATATACACAACCAGGTCAACCAAAACTTTCTGATAAAGAGACTAAACTGTCTTCTAATTCAATTTAAATAATTGTTTTTAAGTTTTGTAAATTATAAATAATCTTTATTAATGGCAAAACAACCCATGCCAATAGGATACCAATTATAACTAATAGAAATCACCATACTTTATATAATGACATTTTTTATATTTCAAGTTCTAAAATGTTATGTTTAAATATGCAAATGAGGCATTATCTAATTAAATTTGCATGCATTTCTAGAAACATTGGATGAAGGGAAACATTTTGTTGACATTAGAGTTGTCCCGATACCAAAATTATTATTTCGATACCGATACCAAGTCAAGAATTGCGATACTTTTCAATACTTTTTCGATACTTTTCCTGAAAAGAAAAGTATTTCTTACTGTGCTCTTTAAATGTTGTAATAACCTAATATAAATAAATCACTCACAAACATGCAGATGCTCTGATTATAATCATATACCCTATATAGATCATTTTAGCTGATGATTTGTATGCTTTATTTTAGCAGCTTGCAAATTATTTATGCCATCTATGAAAGTTGGGGGGAAAGTTGTACACCTTAAACAAAAATAAAAACATAATACATCTTTTACAAATCCGGAACAAATTCATAACATAGTTGATATTTATAAATTTAGGTATCGTGAGGTTTATCTGTTTATTTATCTATTTATCACTCCTTAAATCAGAAAATATCAGCCAGGAAAAATTAATCCTGTTTTTAGGAATGAAATGTAAAACCCTTCAGAAAATAGAAGTGGAGATTTCTGACTCATTTTGACTGTATTTCTGACTAAAACTCATTTTGAGGAAACGGCCTTCAAAGATATGGATTGTAATTGAAATCTACAACAAAATAGATAAAATAAAGTGTGATAAAATAAAAACCCTTAAAAGTGTATTTTTTTAAAACTGTTTATTTTCACATCTTCTCTCTTACCACAACAAGAAAAAAAGAGAAAAACCAAAAATAAAAATAAAATAATAACAAATAAATAATAATTGCAGGTCTACTACACAGGTATCACACATAAATGTCTAACGGGAATCCAAAAAAAATGTACATTTCTTAGTTTCAGTCCATATTATTACATGTTATTGTTTGCCATTCATGTCCAAAATACCCTTTAAGGGGAGACCAATCATTTACAAAAATCATAAGTGTAGTCCTCTGTAAAAGTGTAGTTTGGATGTGTGTTTTTTCCCCCCCATTTATCTAAAACATGTTATAAAAAACCCAAATAACCTTACCCTGGCCACATTTTTGCCTGTATTCACTTGCGAGGTCATTAGTTCCCCATCATGATATAAACATAAACTTGCGTGTGTGTGTTACAGGAACTAAATCATCGTCTGAATGAGGAGATCACCAGAATGCACTCCTGCATCAGTGGAGACAAATTGACTTCCTCTCTGACTCAAGGCAAAGACATCTATGAACTGGAGGTACAGCCCAAACTCTGTCATCTGAATTTTCAATCAATCAATTAAACGTGTCATGCACATTATCTAAATGTTGTTTGGCTGCAGGTTTTGCTGCGAGTGAAGGAGTCAGAGATCCAGTACCTCAAACAGGAAATAAACTCTCTCAAAGACGAGCTGCACACCGCACTTCGAGTAATACACACACACACACACACACATGAGTTGTGTTTCTCTTTAACAGCTCTCCGAACACATTCTGATGTGTCGTTCACATGTGTTGCAGGATAAGAAGTATGCCTCAGATAAATACAAGGACATTTACACGGAGCTGAGTATCGTGAAGGCTAAAGCGGACTGTGACATTAACAAGCTGAGGGAGAAACTTCTGGCTGCTACTGAGGCTCTTGGGGAATTAGACGCTGAAGGAAGTGGCGTCACTGCGGGATACGGTGAGATATTTAAAGGATTAGTTAAAGGGGTGGTTGATTATGATTTCACTTTTCTAACTTTAGTTAGTGTTACAATTTAAACCTAAAATATTTGAAAACAGAAATGTTGATTTTAATCACTATGTTTTTTACTGATACAAAATAGGGTCGATGTCAGTTTTTGGCTGATGCAAATTATTACAAAAAGGCCAAAAAGTGTGTGAACACAAATCTGTGTATATGTATGAGCTGAAGTGTATTTGTGTTCCATACAGACATTATGAAGTCAAAGAGTAACCCAGATTTCCTGAAGAAAGAAAAATCCAGACAGATGCGCGGGGTCAGGTCAAAGGTGAGAGTTCAGAGTGTGTGTGTCATAAATATTCTTGTCAGCCATTGACAACTCTGAATGTATTGATATTCCTGTACATTTATTTATGTTGTTTGTGTTTATGTGCTGTCACTCGATTAAAAATAAAAATTGACATAGAATATACTATACAAAAAGTCAATGATACACTTCAATCCATTTTACATTCGAGTTTGCAATTTTATGCACAAAAATTATGCAATGTTTATTTATTTTTTCAGTTTTTTTATAGTAAGCTTGTTTCCGATACAGAATGAAAAACGTAATTGCAAATTTTGATCTCACAATTCAGACTGTTTTCTAGTAAAAATAAGCTATACAGAATTAATTTGTTAATCTTATTTCTGAAGTATGAAACCGTGTACACGTGTGTGTGTGTGTCCTCTCATGTGTACGTTGCCCTGTCAGGCAGAGAGTGAGGGGTTTGTCGGGGGTAGCTGACCGCTGTGACCCCATCAGGTTCAACAGGTGAAGCATTCATCGCTCTTGTGAGAGTACGGCTCTGTTAGCATGGAATATGGAGCATATTGCACAGAATAATGTATCCCATAAAAATGCAAAGCGTCCCACTTCCATATCCAGTGTGAGGAATTAAACGAAAGCATTACTGCCATTACTCTTATTTGACATATTTACACAAAATGTAATTAAAGTGCTCCTATTATGCTATTTTATAGGTTCCTAATTTTCTCCTACAATAGGTTTACAAGGTCAAAAATTAATTTTCTCATATATACATTGCAGCATCAGCTCTTTTCCCACGGAAACGCTTCAATAAAGGATTCATTCTCTGTAAACTCCTCCTTTCTGAGAGCTGCTCTGCTCTGATTGGTCAAATGGACCAGTCTTTTGTGATTGGTTGACCAATCCACTTCTTGTTTTCCAGAGACAATAACTTAATTTGTCTTTAATCTTTGAAACTAAACACTAAACACACTATGTCAGAAGAAGTATAATAAGGTAAATAATAATAATAATAATTTTCATTTCCTTCAGTACTACATCTGGGTTTGATGGATATTCTTGGGTTTTCTCAGTTTAATTTTTTACCGGTCCAATCAGCGAACAGAGGGAGTGGCTGAGATCAAAGTTAACGCTTGTCAATGGAGAGTGGCCAGACCATAGATATACATAATAAAGGCTAGATGTCTCGTCCGCACTGCTGGCCAGTCATTGGAGGCCGACGTCCACACCTGGCGGCCATCTTGTCACAGTCAACTCGCTCGCTCACAGTCACTCGTAACATTGTGTTTTAATGATGTATGTGCTTTTTAAATAACCATAACTTGCTCAATTTTCGACCGATTTTCTACCGGTTTGGTTTGTTGTAAACGTCAGAGATGTACTTATGACACTGCACACTCAGACTGATCTCATGAAGTAGCGTGTGTATGACACGCCAATTTGTATTTCCATTTTTGGCGCGCTATCATGACGCATAATCGCATTTTAGCGTGTTTATGAACGCCGTTGACTTAACGTTATTACTGTATATATAAATATATGACTTACCTCAACCCCGTCCCTAAACCTAACCGTCACTGGTGTTAATGGCATTTATGACTGGACATTTGACGACGTGTCCAGACACGTGGAATCACTCGGACACTCAGCTCAAAATGCGTATAGATCACACGCCACTTGACTCGAAAGTGGCATGTATGTTTACGCGAAAGTCATGATGTAATGTTGGCACACTTATGAATAATAAGTGTATCGATAAATAATCATCCAGAATAATCGCCACGTTAATGACGTTTGTAAGAAACCAAACCGTTTGTAAATCCGTCAAGATTTCAACGAGATAAGAGTATTTGTGTTGGTTCACTCATCTTACATCAGAGCCCGCCAGAAAGACGGTGATGATGATAGAGACGACATCTAGCCTTTATTATGGATATCTATGAACCGCGTCCGAGAGTCTGGTAGGATCAGGCTAAAATAGGGGCACTTTAAAATGCTAAATTAGATGATTGAATTCCACTCACATGCGATGTGAAATTAACAATGTGACATACTGGAGTTTCAGCACGGGACACCTGCTGTTTCATATCATATATTTGTTAAACACTAGGTGGTGTACATTGTATACTGTGCAGTATTTAGTAAGCTAGTATTCCATTTTAAACACAGCCTTTGAGTCCTGCATGAGCCCTGCACCTGACCTGGTTTGGCAGGTCGACACATAACCAGCACTGGTCACATTTTTCTGAATGTTATGTGTTATTGCAGTGTGTGTTTGTGTGTGTTTTTTGGTGTTTGAGTAGACTTTATCCCTATTTGGATGGTAATTGTTTGTAAATGCATATTTGCATAATCTAAGTTATTCATGTTCATTTTCACTCTTATGTGCTCCTCATGTGCACTACAAAGTCAGCTGTGGCTCTGATGATAACGGCCTGACACTCAAAAGATTCACGTTAGAATTAAATCACAATAATGATTGGTTGTTTTGAGAAAAACACTGACATCAAGCACCACGGGTAAAACAATTACCGTCTTAATAGACTTTTGTGTTGTCATTTGTCTTGTATGTTTCTCTGTGATAAGCACTGAATATATTGAACAACTTAAAGGGACATTTAAGGAAATGTTTCTTTTTCCCTCAAACCCTGTTCTTTCACTTTTTTGGGAAAATTGTTTTATATCTATTTTGCTTGTGGGGTAAACAGTCACCAAATAACATCTCAAATTCCTGCTAAAACATTCTTCATTATGTAATGACACGAGTAAATGAAGTGTCATGTGTCTCGTTTAGTTCTCGAAGGCAACGAGAGCGATCTAATAGTGTAATAATACAGAAAGCGGACACCCGTGTGTGTTCGGGGAGGACAGAGTGTTCATGTGAACGTCTTTTGCAGGTGTCGCGTTGCACAATGAAGTCTCAGACAGTGAATGACAGATGGATCTAAAACCATTTAGAGGAAAACAAGTGGATATAGAAACAGGCTTTGGTCTTGAATGTCCCTTTAAGCCGAGGAATGTGCATGTGTCCACGGTGGACTGTTGTGAAGTCAAGTTTAGAAACGAGTCAAACTGCCATGTCTGAAAAATATGATCAAGTGAAGTCATAAGAGTTAATCGTAATTAGTTTTGGTGGTTTAGACAAACTGTGTTTTTCAACAATACAATGAGCAAACATGAGGAAATGCAGTGTAACATGTGTTTATGTTAGGGCTGTCAAACGATTAATCGCATCCAAAATAAAAGTTTGTGTTTACATAATATATGTGGGTGCACTGTGTATAATTATTTTATATATATTAATACACACACATGCTTGTATATATTTAAGAAATCTTTTCATGTATATACTGCACATAAATTTATATATAATTTATATTATGTATAATAAAAAATAAAAAAATTTAATATATAAATAAATAATGAATTAATTATATATTATAATTAATAATTAATGAATTTATTAATTATTTTATAATATATAAATAATATTTTTTTCTTAAATATTCATGTATGTGTGTGTTTATTTATATATATATATATATATATATATATAATAATTATACACAGTGCACCCACATATATTATGTCAACACAAACTTTTATTTTGGATGCGATTAATCGTTTGACAGCTCTAATTTATGTATTTATTTATTATTATTTATTTATTTGTTGGCTTGTTTATTTGCATTTTTAAATGACAGACTTTCTTATTATTGTTGATATAAATATATATATATATATATATATATCTTTCTAAATATACTGTATATACAGCAGAGAATAGGATTTAATTGAATTTAAAGAACTGAAGAGAAAAATACTTTTGTAGTAATTTGTTTATTTATTTTTTTGTTAGCATTTTTTCAAATTATAATTTTTACAGTTTTATCCAGTCTATTAAATACAGCCGACGATATAATTAACTGTAATTTATGTTGGCCATTGAAATTTTGTATTTTTAATAATTTGATTTTAATCTTTAAAATGTAATATTTATTTTTGACAGTTTTAGTCAGGCTATTAAAAACAGCAGAGAATATCATTTAATTGCTCATTATTTGGTAAACATGGTTCATTTCATCCATTCTTTTGAAAAATAATTTTTTCCACATTAGCTGGCAATGATATCAAAGTTTTTCCTCATTAAAGTGTCATCTATGTGCGTTTAAAGATCACATGATTGATATTAAAGGACTGTTTTTATTTATTTATTCCCAAATATGAAACGTATCATATTTCTCTTTCTCTCTTCCACAGAGTTTGAAGGAGGGATTGACCGTACAGGAGAGGATGAAGCTCTTCGAAACGAAAGACTCCAGAAAGATATAACACTCTCTTGTTCCTCTTTGTATTCTCTTGTATCTTCTTGGTTGGTAGATGAAGCAGGGTGAAGAACTGTATCTTTCTGATTGTGTTGTAATATTGTTCAGTGAATTAAGGGACTTACGTTTCAATATTGACACGTCGTTTTGCCAACCGTCAGCTCTGATGAACCTCATATTTTGTACTTTTTTTGCTCTCTATAAGTCCTGAAGCTGTTCTTCATCATCATCACAGTATACATGAACACACTCAGTATTGAATTGGACACTAGACGTGTGTCTTCCTCATCCGAACATCTTCTGAATGGAGAACTGGCTGCTGTCGTGACATTTTTATGAATATTCTGAGAGAAGAAGAATTATTGACACAGAGAGAGATGTTATTTTGCCAATGATATTGTAAATAAGTTGTGCGCGTGTACGTGATGACTCTTTTTCAGACTTTCTAGTACTGTAACCTCGAGATAAAATGACGCGGTAACGTGAGTGCGAGTGTTTTGTAGAGTGTTTTTGATCGTCTGAGAGATTACGTGCTTCGCTCATTTACTTGAGGAGAATCTAATTGCTGTTTTAATTGCTTTTGTGTTGCTTTTGGTTTATATGAACGTGCAAAATATAGAGCAACCAAACGTGATATCTGCTGTGTGTGTTGCGGCGTAAAGCGCTCGTTCGGCTACTGATAGTGAGCTTAATTCATCCTGTAATTCGACATTTTAATGGTTTCGTTGTGTTGTTCCAGATACTGGCTTTTGCATGAATATGAAGCACTTTGAGTCATTGATATTTTTTTGTGTTCTTGGTTTTGAAACATGTAATTCCATATTCCTTCTGCTCTAGAAGTCAGAAAGTATTGAACACACAACAAAGAAAGCTCACTGTATAATATTCAATATTTGCGATGTAAATAATTGGTTTTAGAGAAGATTTCTTTATCCTGTTCTCTGTCTGCATAGAAAAAAAAAACTTTATATCTATCTGTACAAGGTATGTCTACACCTAATTGCATATGTGTATGAATATTTTTATTTTGGTGTGTGTGAATGTGATGCATCTGTAATAAAATGTTTTTGAATCAGAAATACACTGTTAAAATCAAAATTGGATTTCTTTTTTGCCTTTAGCATGAGTATGTTAAGCTAGCGCTCCAAAACAATGACAAAATTCATATTTGATGACATCATTCTGCAATTCAGCTTCTCATTGGATTTTCTGTCCAATCAAATGGTCTCTAGAATCTGAAGCTCCGCCCCCTACATTTTGTGCGATGTGTTGAACACGTGATCTGGTGACGCTGATGACCGTTACACGCTAATCTAGTAATCTGATGCTCCACCACTGTCATTCACTGACTATTTTCACTGAGAAAGTTTCATATGATATGATTACATTGAAGCTTTAAATTTCGAAATAGAAATACTGTACATACCTACTATACGATACCAATAATCTTTTTATTTACGACGAAACCCCGTTTTGCAGTGTAGCGACAGCGTCGCGTTTGAGGAGTAATGTTAGTTCCGGCCAGCAGGGGGAGTCACGGATCTGCTTTACTTGGGTCTTATGCTTTTTTTTCTTTCTTCAAAGGCACCAGCGAGCAAGATAACACACAACCAGTGATCCTGTCAGGGCGAATTATAGGCCATTATGGGCCAGTTTGAGTTATTTAGTACTTCAAACAAAAAATAAAAATGTTGCCTCTGCGACTATATCTGAAATTAATATATATAATTTTTCAGGCAATATGTTTTTAATGGTTTTAGATTAAGTTTTAGGTTTCAGGCTTTAATTTACCTCACTTGACCTTGTAGATTTTGGTTAGTTTTACAAGGGTTTTGAGTTCAAATTTTGACATTTTCTGACAGCCAGTGGTAATTATGTAGTTTTGTTGAAAAAATGCAGGATTTTTGACATTTTGATAATGGCATCTTTTGTGAACACAAAATGCTTGATATCTGCCACAGCATTTTAATGTCAGGGTCAAGAGGAGGACCATTTTTCATTTTTGGCTGAGCTATTCTTTTATGTTTGTATTTCAGACTTTTCAACTTTTTACTGTGTTGATGAAAGGTTAAAGATAATTAGTTTCCCACGGTGAAACACGGTTCATCATATCTGCAACACAAAAGGACACTTTATTTTCACGCAATGATCTCTCACAACACAAAAAAAGATGTTATATGAATAATTCTTGAAATCCCTGATCAGATTTGTTATTTCGCAGCGTTTATTGAGTGTCCGTGAATAATGAATCCAGCAGCTGAGGAGACAAACATGCTTCCTTCTATTAACGCTCTATGATCACAGTTATGTAAGTGCATATGTGGGTTTGGTGTGTGAAATCTCCATAATAAATGTATGTCACTCATCTCAAGCCATTCAAACCACACACCTTTCACTTTTTATGAACTTTCTGCATATTTTTATGATTCCGGGCTGACAACAAGAACTTTAACATAAGAATAATAGCATTTACACACACACACACACACACATATATGTAAGATATTCTGTAAGAGTTTGGCTTCAATTCAATGCAACAGAGGTCTGCATGAGTCATTAACATCAAAGTGTGTCTGTGTGTGTAGTGTGTGTGGGAGATCTGTCCTCTGGACATTGGTAGAGTCCAAACTTTTGATTGCATGTTAAATGACAAACATTGATTTACATTATAATGTCTCATTTGCATATTTAAGAAAACTTGTAAACAAGTTCTCAAACAGTGAATTTAATTAGTTGACATTTTTGCCCTATTCACCCGCATGGTGTCTTGCCTTAACTGCAGATAATTATTTCCATATTCAAAGAACTGTTGTATACAAATAAATTTATTGAAACAAATTGATACTTTGCTGAAGGCTAATCTTTGTCGTTAGCTGAAATAATGATCGAATCAATGTTGAGTTCACCCTATACTTTCCTGCTCTTGAATCATTATTCTCCCATGTAAGACGACGCAGGACACCTGGACCACAGCGGCCTGTCACGTTTCCATGGAAACAGAAACCACAGAGACGGAGCCAGAAGCATCCCGCTGGACGAGGTGTAGATACATGTATTAATAAACACATATGCAAATGATTAGTTGAAGGCATTACCTGCATGCTACATCTCTGTGCAGACTCAGACTCACTGGTTTTCTGTGTTAATTTCGTGTTTGATTAAGTTCTGCTGGGTAATTAATTTCGGCTAGTATATTATCATCACCTATTAAACATAAATACCTGGAATACCTGTGTCTTGGTCAACGGCGTCATTCAAAAATATGTGTAACAGTCGAACTTCCTTTTAAAAGGCATTTTCAACATTTTTCAACAACGCTTTATCAAGCCAGCATATAATTTGAGCTCACTTTAACTCACACTGCAACTCTTCACCGTGTTTCCAAAACAAAAGTGAAGTTAAAAACACATTCTCAATACAATTCTGAATGGCTGACGGTAAAAATGCTACTGTAAAAAACTGTTATTTCATAAACAATTAGTCCCCTTACTATTTACAGGGGAAAAAATCTACTCTAACCTTGCATTTGATGTAATTTTACAGTAAAATACTGTACCATTTTGTTTTTGGAAGTAAAAAACAAAACAAATCATTGGCTAATTTACAGTAAAAAGCCATAAACTGATGACACATTTGATGGTTGTAAGTTACCCATTATGTTTCTTAGTTTTTTGCTATCAGTAGGGTTTATGTTAGTTTTTGTAATATGGTATTAACATTTCAATTAATAAAATGCAATTTTTTACAGCAATTTTTTTAGTGTGGTTAAAAAACTGATGACTTTCGAGAATGTGAAAAAGTTTGTATACCCCATAGGCCTAAATGTTTGCATGTTTTGATCTTCATAAGCGAGATTGGATGTGACCAGTCCGATTCTCAGTCTCTAAGATTTAGTTTCCAGTACAACACAAATTAAAATGGCGTTTTGTCTTCTAGCTTCAGTAGCAGGTGTCGTTCTCTCTGGCAGAATCACGGCTCGTAGGCGTCTCTTGTCATTGTCTTTCATTCTCCTAAATTGGCTGTTTTCAACAGTTTTGCCCATTTCTCCCAGTACAGAAATGCAATATGATTCAGATCTCTGCTTTATATTTATTGAATTAATTTTGTTTTGTGGTCTGTTGTAAGATCCATATATTTGAATGTGTTCACAGGTGTATCATCTCATATAAAATCCTTTGGAGTAATAATGAAACGGCAGAAGAAGAGACTGATCTAGTATTCATTTTTTAACATTTTTGTCTTTCAGGTTTTTTTTTTTACAAAAAAGTTGTACAGTACAGCTCACAAAAGTTATCATAACTCTCTGTGCTTTCTCAATGAATACATTGCTTCACTTCACTTCAAACTGGTAAAATCGAAATGTTTTTGTCCTGATAAATTGTGGTTGATACATCACATATTGCTTTGATCTTTTCATTATTGCTGCATGAATGTACCCTTCATACTAACATACAGTGGCATAACACACACACACACACACACACACACACACACACAGATAAGCAGCAGCATTCAATCTGAGCCACAGTTTCTAATAATGAGTGATTATTTTGTCCCTCTCTTTAAAGCAATATTCCGGGGCAAATCCAGCTAAAGCTCATCTCAAACATCTGTGACATGTTGTCGATCACCTTAGACAATCATTTTGTCAATTTGTCGATGAAAACAAGCCAAAGTTGGGTTTGCACTTAAGGCACGTCTATGGGGCAATAAAACAGAAATGTGCAGCATGATTTTTAAACTTATGTTAAAGCAGCTATATTCATTATGTCAAATGTGTTATGTTTGTTAGCTCTAAAGTTTCCTAAATCATCGTTTTGAGGTGGAACTAACTAACGCGGATGAACATCGTCTGCACTAACGCCTGTAGATGGCGTTTTCTCCAGGTAAAAAGTCTCTTTCTGCTGTTTTTGCACAAGAGTTACTTACTGCTTCATGCGTTCATGCCAGGAATTAAGAGATGGATTTATCTGTACACATCGAGGTAATTAAGTAGTTTTTATCAATAATTCCATGTCAACATGAAGGCTACAAAATTTAGTAAGCATTTTTTATATGATGTACACGGCTAACAAGCATCACGATGATTACGAAACACCAAAAATGTGATTAGCATAAAATATACCACAAATATTGGATGAAATATGTTTTAATCAGATTGAATGAATTTTACTTTAGTTCTGGTATGTGAAATATATGACATTTTCCTTATCCGCCATCTTGGATGGATTTTACTGAACTAACGTTACGTCGACATCTGCTGGTCAAACTGTGCAAATTGTAACGAATCCTCTGCTCAAACATGGATTATAGACAGTTTTTTTACGAACCAATTGTAAATAAGCTCAAGTAAATTCCATTAAATAGATCTAAATCATCTTTAACATTTTGATCCATGCTTCAAATTACTGTTCGAAGCGAATTGTTAGATGTGTCTGCATGCGATGTCTCGAAAAAACAAAGACACTGGCTGTTTTAAAGGAATAGTTTACCCAAAAATGAAATTTATATCCTCGCTCTTCCCAGCTTTTTAATGGCATTGAATATTGCCTGAGTTTTTTAAGCTCCAAAAATCAAATTCATCCATCATACAAGTAATTCACACGGTTGAAGGGTGACCTCTATCTGACCCAACGTTGATTATAGTTAAGAAAGTATATTTATATTTTTCTTGTATGGATTACTTTTATGATGGATGGATGTTATTTTTTTGAGCTTCTAGGCTAAATCTCTGGCACAAGTCAATGCCATTACAAAGCTTGGAAGAGCCAGGATATTATTTAATAGGCTATAGCTAACTCAGATTGTGTTTGGCTGAAAGAAAAAAGACATAGGCTATACACCTGGCTTGAGGGCGAGTAAATTGTGGGATAATTTATTGTTATTTTGGGGTGAATTATTCCTATAATGCCTTTCCCCCATAGACTGCCGTAGTGCATTACTGTAAACATGATTTTTGTTTGCCTTTACATGAAGTTATGTCATTTCTGTAATAATTGACAGCTTTATTTAACCTGGAACATCCCTTTAAAATGAACTGCTAAAATGCATCAAGATGTTGTGAGGTTTTTGTCACAATAATAATAGAAAAGAGAAAATGATGAAATGCAGATTGCACTCAACACTCAGTCCGACCATGTGCATAGATCAGTGAATACTATCATACTCAATCATTATATTTCAGATTAGTTCGGCTTGTAGTTTCTTTTTTAAATATTAATAGAAATGCAGTAAATGTTGGCATTCTTGAATCCCATTCTTTTCATGAAAAATTCGGCAGGAAGTTGAAATATATTAAGACAGGTAAATGTATTAAAATACGACATTTGAAGGGAAGTTTCTGGATTCACACAGAGTTTTCTATCAGGCGTTTCTGTCAGAGTCTCAGGGACAAAAGAAAAGATTAAGTATCTAAACAGTTGATGATGATCATCCCAGTGAGTTCTCTGAAGATCTGCCACTATATTAGGTTACATGGTGCAAACTGATAATGTCTACATTATATATCTCTCTACCTAAATATATATATCTATTTTGCTTTAAATATATCTAACAAGTATGCAGGAGCATGTTGTAGTTTTAGGAGTGTTTGCCATTCAACCTTCTCCTTGTGCGTCTCACATGAGGCATTGTGCTCAGCTGCACAAAACACACACACACACACACTCACGCACACACACACGCTCAGGTGCTCACATTGTTCACATGGTCTGTCTAGGTAGTGCAGTTGTAAAGGGGAATTTATCATGTCTCACTGATCAGTGTGTGTGTAGATCTCCAGGGATAGTGTGCCCCGGCATTGCTTGTCGTTTGTGCTTGGATTGAATGCAAAAATAAATTGACTAATATCTTTCTTCCTTTTCTTTGTAAATGTAACATTGTCTTTGTTTTTCTCTTGCTAGAAATTAATATCGCACACAAAACCATGAATCTATGCAGAAATATTTACACATTAAAGGAATAGTACACCAAAAATAATGTTCATTTTTTTTGTCATAGTTTACTCTCCCTCATCCCTCAGTTTCAAATATGTATGCTGTTTTTTTGTTTTGTGGAACACAAAAGAAGATTTTTATTTATTTATTTTTTAAAGAAAATGCTTTTCTACATAATGATGTTTTTAGTAGGGTTGCACAATTCAAAGTTGGAAACTTTCTATTGGAATGAACAAAAATTGTAATTTTAAAATTGTAGTTTAACTTCAATACTTAATTGAAAAATAAAACATCTTACAGCTTAATCTTTGTTAAAAACTATTTTAATGAGACATATTTTGGGTGGGGAGGGGAGGATGTGCTTTCATTTCACATTTTGAATGGGATTTTTTTTTTTGGGGGGGGGATCATAGGAAATATGTTTATTTTATTCAACATTCATGTTTATTTGTTGTTTAATGAAAGATTCAATTAAAGTTCTACTCACAAATAAATCAAAAATGTGTATTAATTTGCATGACCAAAAAGAATTTTATATTTACTGTATGTTTGTATATAATACAGTATAAATTACCCAAAATGTCCAATTAATTCCCATTAGTTCCCTATAAACTTGGAATATTTCCCAAATTCCCCAGCTGAACTGCCCATGGAAAGTTTCCGCAAATTTACAGGAAATGTTCGGTCCCTTTGCAACCCTAGTTCATTGTGACCATGGCTTTTAAAAGTCCACACGACTGTATTCAGCCAAATTATAGATTTCTGAAAATAAATTCAAAGCTCTTCAACCGAACATGGTGCAGGGTGGACATAAGTGTTTACAAAATATATAGAAACTCGCAAAAAGAAATATAATAAATATATATATTTTTTTTCATATTTAAGAATAATTAAGAATTTGATATAATTTTAATATAATTATATATATTTTTTGTACATGTATATCTTTTTGTTATTATAACTTTTTTAAAATAGATCCATTTGTATTCCAGTTGTGTAACTAAATCACTTTTTCAGAATAATTTTTTTTGGTGAACTATCCCTTTAAGAATCAAGAGTTTAACAGCTAAACTAGTATCATGAAACAAAACGAGGAAAAGATTCAAGTTTTCCGTGCAGGATAAAAAGATTCCTACTGCCTCTCTCTCTCTCTTCGAATCGGCATCTCCCCTCCGCTACACGTCGCTCCAGCTTTCACACATTCACCCGTTTGTTCATTGCTCATTCATTCACTCGCTCACTCTCTGCGTATGGCACTTTGCATTGTTCTGCATTTTAGAAGCTCCAGTGTCTCCAGGAACGAAAGTATCAAAAAGGTCATAGTTAAAGGTTCATATCTCTGACTCCCTTCGGTATGACCTTTGCTCCGCGCAGCGAGGGTTCTGCAGTCGTTCGAAATCGTGTCGAGGCGTTCTCTCCGGGCTGAGGCTCCTCGCTCGCTCTGGCTTTATCCTTTCCGGACTGTCGTCGTCCTCCTCTTCGTGGCTCAGGATCGCCAGCTCGTTCTCGTAGCAGAAGGAGTTGGCGCTGGGCACCACCAGGTACTTGTTCTCCATCATGTCCTTGGCACTGCAGCGAGGGGTGGACGGCACCTCGTAGGTCTTGTGGAAGTGAGAGTAATCGACCTTGTATTGGTTCTTTTCCTCAAACAGCACCGGCTCGAACCGATGCCCCCAGAGGATCTCGCTAGCCAAGTAGGAGCTTCTCGCCTGTGCCGTCATGGCCGTCGCCTCCACCATTCCCTCCAAGATGACCACGATCTCAAAATCCGCCGTTTCGAGATCCTGCTTAGCGACGCCGAACAGAGGACTCTCCTGGTCGATTTGATGCAGGATTGTGATTGGCGAGACTAGGAAGATGCGGTCCAGCCCTTTGTCGAACCCGACATTGATGTCCAGCTGGTCGAGTGGGATGTACTCGCCTTCGACGGTAACCCGCGGTTTGATGAGCTGTGCTCGGACGTGCGCCTCGACGATGTGACTCTTTCGCAGGTTCCCCACCCGCCACATCAAGCACAGTTTCCCGTCACGCATGGCGATGATGGCGTTTTGCGAGAACAACAGAGTCTGCGCCCGCTTCTTAGGACGCGCCATTTTGGCCATGATCGCTCCGATCATGAAGCAGTCGATGATGCTGCCCACGATGGACTGGAAGACCACGAGAAACACCGCGAGAGGACATTCTTCCGTCACGCAGCGGAACCCATAACCGATGGTCGTTTGCGTCTCGATTGAGAACAGGAACGCCGCGATGAAACCGTTCACCTGCAGAACGCACGGCGTGAAGTTGTCGTCGCCCGCCGGGTTGTCCAGATCACCGTGGAGAAGCGCGAGAACCCAAAACGCCAAGCCGAACGCCAACCAGGAAATCACGAAGACTAGCGTGAAAACGATCACTAGGTAGCGCCAGCGGATGTCCACGCAAGTGGTGAATATGTCCGCCAGGTAGCGCTGGGACTTCTCGTCCATGTTGGTGAACTGCACATTGCACTGTCCATTCTTCTTCACGAAGCGGTTGCGACTTTTCCGTCGGGTGTGGATTTTGCCGTTGCCGTATCCATTCATCCCTCCGCCATGCATGGTGGTTAAACGCAGAGCATCCTCCTCCGTCGACACGATACTGTAGCGACCCATCCGACCCACGCTCATCCTCTTTAGCGCTCCACTTTCCTATTTTTCCAATTTGATGTTCCCCCTCTTTTTGGAGCGGTTTAGTAGTAGTACGAGTCCAGGGTGGTGGGTGGTTTAGTTGTAGTGATGTTGGGTCAAATCCAATCACCAGTAGAAGCACTTCGGTTTCCTCAGACCCTTGGGAAAAACAAACAGATCACCATCAGTTTATAAAACTGTAAATGAGAGTGGTGGCATTTGAGAGTGACTCTGCATATAAAAACGTTCTTGTTTCAAAGTTATCGGTTTAGCAGATGTTTTTTTGCAGAATTTTACGTTACGTTAAAGAAAAAATAGTAAAAAGCTTTTTTAAATTGAACTAATTGTTTTATTTTGTTTGTCTCTCCGAAGAATACATGCAACGCTGCCATAAAATGTGATCGAAAGGAGCCTTGATGGCGCTCTAGGTTGGAAGGTAACTAGATTTTAGAGCCAAAATGTGCCAAAAGGAGTGTTTTCACCTACTTACTTCAGTTTTACCTTGATTCAGACTGTGACATTGGTGCGTGTCTGATGTTTGGACAAAAAACAACCATAAAGATGAATTGAGGCTGTTTTGTTTTGGGCAGTGTTGTAGTCGAGACCACCTCACTCGAGTCCGAGTCAAGACCCAGTCCATAGAGAGTCGAGTCTGAGACCAGAGACGGTCAAGTCCGAGTCGGGACCGAGACCAGTGAGGGTTGATTACCTAATTTACTTTTAATTACTTAGAGAAATCCTTTTTTTTTTTTACTGAATTTACTTAGAGTTTAAAAAATATGACCAGTTTAGGGTAAAAAGGCCACATAGTAGGTGGCGTTAAAAGTAATTTTATTACAATTTGTCATGCGCAGTTGCGCACTAGAAAATCACCAATCACTGGGTGTTGTCAATCAATTTAAAGAAACATTTTATTAACATACATTAATAATCATGAAAAATATTTTGAATTGAACTCAAGTGGACTCGGGAATAAGTCCGAGTCCTAAAAAAAAATGTTCGAGTACGAGTCAATTCCGAGTCCAAATGCAAACGAGTCCATGACAAGACCATTAAAATATGGTCTCGAGACCGAGTCCGAGACGAGTCCGAGTCTCGAGTACTACAACACTGGTTTTGGGGTCAGTTGTTTTGCTGATATTATTGATATTAGTTTGGCATTGCACTGGCTGGATATTGTATGAAATTGGTGAGTCGAGGCATGAACGCTCGCTGGATTCATTTCAGGTTTCTCATGTATGTGTTTTTGTTCTCAGCTCCTACATTATTGATCAGAGCTCTGTTTTAAAGCTGCTTGACACAACAGAGATGTTCTGGCTATCCGATCACAGCCAGATATCCCTCATGAGGCTTGAATCTTACCCTTCAAAACGCCAAAGATGACGTAAACGGGGTATTAACAATATTGTGCGAGTGCCCCGTGTGTTTGAGAGTGTTTGCGCACACATACTTGAGTTTTAAACACATCATTCAGACACTCAGGAGACCAGTGTCTGTATGAGGCTTTGGCGATGGGTGCCGTCCCACAATCCTCTAGAGATGCTAAGTGGGTTGAAGGGGGGGAGGGTACTGAGTTAGCTGGGCATACACAGAAAATTAAGATAAGACTTGGAAAAAATGAAGGTTATGAAGCAAAAAAATAGGAGAGAGAGAGACAGAACTGATGTACGACAAAGACCAAGAAGGGAGGAAACCCTGTGGCCTGATATCTAAATATATACAGTCAGCTCTCCGAGAGGTTTCGTGCTTTATTTGTCTGGCCTGCTTCTGCATATCATAGAGCGACGTCATTACTGTCACACTTACACTTCCCTTTTTTATTTATGTTCTGGAGAACATCAGTGTTATTTATTATAGTATTTATTACATTTTGAATTGGCTTTTATTTTCATTTTGAATGTAAGTTTGTTTTAGTCATTTTGTAGTTTATTGTTAAAAATGATTTGTAATAGTTTTAGTTAATAATAACAAAACCCGAGAACCCAATACACATGTCCATTTAAAGCTGCAGTCTGCAGTTTTTCCTCTTTGTCGCCATCTCTGTTTGAAATCTGCAATTGCAGTCAATCGCCTAATTATCAACAATGGGCCTGCCACCACAGCTGGAAAAAATCCTAACACTGCTTTCCCATCATGTAGGCTACTACACTTCCCATAACCCATTGCCTTGACTCATTATGATCTCATTACTTCCACCTGTGTCTCATTATCTTGTTAACGCTTGCCTATTTAAGCCCTGTGTTTTCGCTCATTCTTTGCGAAGTCTTGTATGTTGTTACGCTGCATTTCTGAGCTTTATCCTTGTTTCCTGTGTCTTAGTTATTTGATTATCTACCCATATCCTGGGTTTTCTCCCCTGTTGCTTTTTTGGACTGTTTTATATGGACTATGATCTGGATTGTCCCAATAAAGCTGCATTTGTATCCTCAACCCAAGTCTCGGAGCAATCCGTATTCGTAATATTATGTAATATAAAATCTCTTTGCATTTTCTTTACATTTTCTGACCAAACGTTAAGTGGTGTTTACTTGTGCAAAAGTTTCCTCCATGATGCTAGGGTGTTTTGGGTGGTTGCCAGGGTGTTGCTATGCACTTTTAAAGTGTGATTTAGAATGTGTCGGGGTTGTTAGGGGATTAGAGGTTGATGTTGCCTACTTGTCTAAAGCCGTATGCACATTGTATGATCTATTATAGTCCTTTACGACTGTTGCTTGTCAGAATACAGCATTGTAGGGTCTCAGTTGTCATTAGGGATTTACATCATCAATTTGTGACACGTTTGGTTACTAAGCTGCATTTTATGTGGGATAGAAACGGTGGCTGGCTACTAGCAAACACAAATCTCTAGTGTTAATTTTGGTTATGGCTTTTCTTGAAAAGTAGACTGGAAGAAAATGAAGACGTGTGTGTGGAGCAAGTTGACTTTGTCACACATCATCAGGTTGTTCCTATACATTTTTGATTTGATAGGGGAAGTCACACTGTGGATTGTGTCTCAAAACTTCTGACGCTGCCAGAATTTCACTTTTAATCGCAATGGTCATTAATCGGCTGTCAAACCAGCGATCAAAGACTTTAGATTTTGGCCAAGGATCAGAGCAATCTTTAAGGATTTACAAAATTTGTTTCATACGGCCAAAATCATTCAGCGTGACCCGGCCCGACCTCAAGTTTCTGTTCTCTAGAGCCATCTAGTTACTATATGAAGAGAATACGCTTTTTGTGATTTTTCTTTTTTCCCCTTCCTTTTCACAATTTTCATAACAGGGTCTGTTTGTTTGGTGAGATACTGATACTGATGTCTGATAACATCATTACATAATTACAGCGGCTGAAGCGTCTCTGTGCTGTCTGCCTTCTACCTGAAAACATGATACCTGATCTGTGCACACACACTCATGCATTCATACACACACAGAAACACCATAGTGTTGTCTTGTATCTGAGCTCTCGGTGTCTTGGATCATTTCAGGGCCATCAACAGCATCAGGCCACAGTTGTCTCGAGTAACAGAGTTTGAAAGAGAAAGCTTGTGAATGCTTTAGATAAAAATCTGCAATCCTGCAACTAAACCGTCAGATTGGTAAGATGTAAATAGATCGAAATAAATAAATTAAACTAAATAAAAACATGATTTTTCATGCAATTAAATGCATTCACTGAAAATTAAAGTTTTAATGCACAAAGTTGCGCCAGTGAAAGTTATTTTAAGGGTCAGATGAGTTAGAAATGACACTTTAGCAACTGTTCTGTATGTAGAAATGTAGAAATGATGAAGTATTGTTGTGCATGAATAAGAAGCAATCTTTTATCAGAAAGTGACCTAAGTAAAGTTGTGAGTGTGACGTGTGTTGGCTGATGCTTGGGTTGTGGTTCACCCTCAGGAGGGAGTTGACTTGTAAGGGAACGGTGAGTTCTAGGTTGTAGCAGCAGATTTGACCGGAGAATGTCATGATGTCTGTCCGTGAACCGAAGCGGAGCCGAATGTAGGTCATGGGAATGACAGAGGCAGGGAGATTTTTCACAAGTATATTTTGACACGAAAATATAGAACATTTACCCTAACACAAATGAGCTATTGTTGCATGACCTGAAGCAGAAAGTTAAAGGATTTAAGTTATACGGTTAACTCAATATACTTACATATTGAAGTATCAGTGTAAAAACAAACTTACTCAATCAAATTTAGGTAACAATCTGCACTCTATTTGTTTTTAGTAATGTTCATCCCATATGTTGAGCAAATCTAACAATGCTATACCAACTAAAAATTACCTATAAAAAGTGAGTAATATGACAGGGTTCCAGCCGGGTCTTAAAAAGCCTAAAGCATTGAGTTTATTCATTTGGAAATAATACCTTAAAAAGACTTTAAAAAGGCTTGAATTTTGACGTCTGGGTCTTAAAAATTGTGCTGTATTTGTAACTCCTCAAAAGTTTCATTTGTCAATCACAATTATTATGATTTTCGATGTTTATTGTTCAGGGGTATCTCAGTTCCCCATATTCCCAGCATGGAATAAGTAGCTAATGTTAAAAAACAACTTAACATTGTTCGGCAAACTTTCTTGTGGCCTCCTGAAATGTTTTTATTTTTCACATCTGCTTGGCTTATCATCTTTTACATTCCACATTTGAAAAATAAATGAACACAAGGATGCTGGTAGGAACATGGAATAGGTATAATTTTTATATAAATGGTCTTGAAAACGTCTTAAAAAGACTTTTTTAACTCTATGTGCTTGTGATGTTATTGAATGTTTAAATTTGATATGTCATACATAACTGAACATTAAACATGGCTTTGCCTTTACTCAAAAACACATAAAATAACACTTCATTTCAACTTCATGATCAAGCCATGCAAAGCATGCTGGGAACTAAAAATCCACCGCACAGTTTCAGTTAATGCTGCAACTCCGAAATAGAAAGTAAACTTTGAACTTTTACATATTTAAGTAGATTGGACACAATTAGATTAAGTAGAAACATATTCAGCAATTGTTTTGCTTTAATTCATTTTAAAGTAAATTTACCAAGCATTTTTTTGTAAGTAAAAGTTGTTACTGTATGTCAAGTCAAAATATAATATTATAAGAACAAGACTACAAGGTCACATCAACAGATGCTGTGATGTCGACAGCGTCTCTAGTTGCGATAGATAAACCAACCAACGGTTTGTCACTCTCAAATTCTCTCTGTTGGCTTTTAATCAGGTTACCATGTGGTCGATTAATAATTGAATAATTTGCAGTATTGAATTGCGTTTTATCATCATCTAACTTTGCAGAAACCTTGAGATGGCGGGTGAGATTCTGTCCAGAAAGTGTAGATGAGAGGAATTACTGTCACATTGTGTTTTGACCTCGCATATGTTGATTTGGTGGAACTTCAAAGCCTACGGTAATCTCCAAACACTCGTATTTGACTTAGTTTAAGTGTGACAGACTGACATTTTTCTTTTAACATCATTTGACATCCTAAGAGAGCCGTTGTTATGATATGGAGATGATTATGATCATGATTAATGACTCCATGTTTCGCCGCTTGTGGCCTAGTTTTCTGCAGTATTTAATGCCGATCTGACATTACCTGCTGTTTTCTTCATGCAGTTTCTGTGTCTCACCGCAATGTTGGTGACACTTAAAAAAAATTGCATTATGCAATGCTTGACAGATCATTAGGTAATGTTAAAATGATATATAATCATTGTTAAAAAGCCTTTTCATGCATATTCATATTAGAACTTGTAACTTTTGCTCTGATCTTATATAAAATATATAGTTATTACATAGTTCAAATTTTACTGTATTATTTTAATTGTTGTGTTTAATGGTACATGCAGATACCAGACAATTGCATGCTCATCTGTGCCTTAAAAAGCTAATAAACAAAACATGAGCATTACAAGTTCAGCAAATAGTGCATCATGCAAAGTAAAGCCCTAGTCGGATAGTTTGAGTCCATGTGAAAGTGGTCAGTGATGCATTTCTACACGTCTGGTTGAATTATTCATGCATGTGGATTTACATTGTTTTGTTGGTCATCATCATGATGGTGGTGATTCTTTATCATTTTAGCCTGTGTAAATACTATAAAATACTTCAGAATGGGATTTTTGCAGCAACACCACATCTTTTTTTCTTATTGTGAAGAACTTTTTTTCACCATGAAGAGCCTTTTCCTCGGATGTCAAAGGTTCTTTATGGGAGCGTCGATGTCAATAAAGAACCTTTTTATTTAGAAGTGTATCAGATGAACGAGTAGTTTGGAGGGTGAGAGGAGCTCTGACCTCTTTAGCAGGGTAACGGATGACATTAAGATGACCTTCATATTTTCACACACACTTTCATCTGTGCACACCTCGCTTTCTGTGTCAACATTTTTAGCTAAGTAGTTCCTGAAAAGAAGGAGCATGTGTGAATCGGGGACAAATTTGTCCTCAGATGTGAGCTAAATCTGACCTAAGTTTTCTTTTCGTGTTTGCAGTGTGGGTTCGTTATTCAAAGCTTGAAGTCTGTTATGAATGTCAGGGATAATAATATCCGAGATAAAGGCTCATTCTGTCCACTATTATAAGTACGGCTTATTTTCGGCAGCAAAAATTCTGGGAATATTCTCTGAAAAACACGTATGCATAACTTTCTGCTCAATATCAGGTCATTATAATCGGGTCAGTTAACGATGTTCTAATGAAGTTCAGTGACTGATTCTTGCCAGCACACATTAAAACATTTATGCATTGGGACTTAAAATAGCTGTTAAATAATTCATTAGTGTTAATATTTCTTATTATTAATAGAAATATTGGATAATATAATTACGAGTTGTTTCATATTATCTTCCTATTTCATGTTTATTGTATCTAAACAGTTTGTACAATTTAGTTTTATGATTATGCTTGAACTGATGCATTGATAAACTTGTAGACCCCAGCTCGTTGTTTAACCCTTTATGAACTTTAATTTGCATTGATGTAATATGTGATAATTGTGCATATAATTGAGATTCTAGCAGCTGAAAGTATATAAATACCAACACATGGTAAAGTTTTAGATGGATGTTGCTTACCTTGCGTTTTGTGAGGGGTCCTCGCCCTCTGAGTGTGTGTGTGTGTGTGTGTGTGTGTGTGCTATGGCGTTGTGGTTGCGTTATCCAAACTGGAGCATTTGATGAGAGCTTGTGATGGGGATCCAGAGCTCTGCCATCTCTACCTCACACACACTCATTGTCCATTTCAGATTCATATCCTATCCTCCACTTGTTTTTTCATTCTTCCCATTTTAAAAGCACATATATTCCAGATCAGAAACAGAGAAACGGCCCCAAACACTCACTCCAGTTGAATAAGTGAATGAGTTCTGACTGAATCAAAGCATCAGTGAGCTCGTGATGGTCATGAAGAAACACTTCAGTTTGGAGAAGTGCATGTCCTCCTCCTCTTCCTCCACTCCTGATGGATGAAGCACTGTCCTGTTTTCTGTCAGATCTTCTTGTCCCCCCAAAACGCGGGAGGAATACGGCAGTTCTTTGTCACACACCTGCTTGCTTCATCTTCATCTGCCATCAGATCTATCAGTACTGCACTTTTCTCATCTCTGTCTGTGTCTCTCGCTCGCTCTTTCTCTCTCACCCCTCCGCTCGTTTCTCCCTCCCACGGCACAAGCGCTCCAGCGTTTTGTCACTTGATGCTCTGCTGTGGTCATACGGGCACACACACTCACACATTCACACACACGGAGACAGAGAGAGAGTCTTCCTCACTAACTTTCTCCATCCTCTTCTATGAAAAGGTTTATATTCACAGCACTCGTGACACTTTCATGACATCTGAGCGCATTTACCACCAAATCACAACGACATTACCGTTTTATCATCCTTATTAGATTCTCGTTACTGTAATTCAGACATTTGAAGTGTATTAAACGTTAGAATACATTAATTTAAAAATAAAATCAGTACAAATGAACAAATACTATCATAATGGATAAATGTTTTACAGTTAAATTTAATTATTTTTACTGGATAATAGTAAAGAGTTTTATAGTACAATAACTTTCATTTTAAAATCATCAAATATTAAAGGCAGTACAATAAATACTATTATAATTAGGGCTGGAATAAAAATAAAATAAAAGTTTGTGTTTACATAATATATGTGTGTTTGTTGTGTATAATTATGTTGCACACGTGCATGTATATATTTAAGAATTATTTGCACGTAAATGCTGTGTATAAATACATAATCTATATATGAATAACACATTTTCTTAAATATATATATGCATATGTGTGTATTTATATATACAAAATAATTATACACAGCACACACACACATATTATGTAAACACAAACATTTATTTTGCGATTAATTGCAATTAATCTTTGCACAACCCTAATTCTAATGTATAGATGTTTTACAATTAAAATTTTTAGTGTAATAGGAAAGTATTATAGTATAATATTTGTATTAAATTATAATATTAGCACATTTAGTACAACACCATTTTAATGTATAAATATATATTACAGTTTACATATTTAAATTGTTTTACTGTATTGTAGTCAAAAGTATTATAGTACAATAATTAACACTTAACATTAAGGTTTCACTTGTTAACATTATTTAACTATATTAGTTTATTTTTACAAAATTGCAAATATTTTTTTTTACAAAAAAGTTGCATTTGTTAATGCTCTTAGAAATAATGAACAGTGAACAATTCGATTTTCACACTGACTGACGTTAATAAAGATTACTAAATGCTTTAAATTTATTTTGCTCATTGTTATTTCATATTTGCTATTTACTAATGTTAATAAGTGAGACCTTATTGTAAAGTGTTACCATTTTTTTATTATAAAATCAAAATGTATAAAAGGCTATCATAATGTATGATTTTGTTTTCATTTACAGTAATGCGATTAGATTTTACGTGTTTAATCTCATGACAGAATGTCACAATGCAACAAATATGGATGACCCACGCATTGAGTTCTTTAGTTAGTATCACAAAATATTACTAACTTTAACTAATAGTGCCGCTTTTCTTCTAGGTTTTTCCATTTCTGGCATTCAATTTTTTGAAGTATTTGCCACAATTTTAGCTCAGAAGTGTTGATACCTACTGTACCAAACATCAGCGGGTCTGTCTTTACCCACACAACTGTGAAGATGTCAGTTTTCATTAAAACAGTTGTGAAACTCTCTGTGTGTCCATGTGTGTGTGTGTGTGTGTGTGTATGCGTGTCCATGCGTGTGTGTTTGTGTGTGTGTCCGGCGGGCAGGTTCTGAACACTTGATGTCTCCATGGTGATTGGCACACTGTCAGCTCTTGCAGTGTTTTAGGTGTTTCCTGGAGAGAGTCGGGGTCTCCATGGTGATCTTGAGCTCAGCATCATCACAGTTTCCAAAAATGAAACAGATAGATGAATGGAAATGTGAAGCGCTGGAGGCTTAAACCGGAGCGTGACACACAGACCTGTTGAGGAGCGCTCACACTGATGTCATTGCAGTAGTCAGTGGGGCTTTTCTGTAGGGCATTATTATTACATGCCAATGGTGTTTCCCAATCAAAACTTTCCACTAGGATGTGGCTGTGTAGTTGCTAAAGTGTTGTTCCAAGTATGTTTAACATGCAGATATAGGCTACGTCCACATTAATCCGGATACATTTGAAAACGGGGTTTTCGTTTAAAAGCGCTCTCCGTCCACACTAGCGTTTTCAGGTGTTTTCCGACAAACGTTAGTGTGGATGAGAAACTTCTAAATTCACTTTACTGCGCATGCGTGAAACTTCACAAAAGCTCACTGAGATGATACAGATGGGAAAATAAATAATAATGTCATTGCACAATAACAGGATAATTTTATTTAGCAAAATATCTCACCATCACGGATGCGTCCAGGGCGCATTCAATTTGGTCTAAAACGCAACTGCTCTCCTGTTTTGCCGCAGGACAGCAAATGTGAGTAGACTATATTATCTGTCATCTTTGCAGTACTGTGCTATGAACAATAGCATTAAGTAACATAGAAAGTAACATATTTTAGAAATAGTGTAAAAATGAACACATAACAGGCACAATACCGATAAACATGAATATCTATTGGTACTACATGGATCACATGACTAAACTTACGTCATCGTTTTGAAATACCTCTACAACGCGAAAACGGCGTTTTCAAATTTATCCACTTTGGAGAGCGTTTTCCAAACGATACGTTTTTGTTGACTTAAAACGGCGTCTCAGTGTGGACGGAAGGCCGAAACGGAGAGAAAAATATACGCTTTCAAATGAAAACGTATTAGTGTGGACATGGCCATAGTTGCTAGGTTGTTTTTAAGTTTGGGTTGTTTCCACGTTGAGTGTTTTAGCATGTTGCTTGGACATTTCTAGGGTTAGTTTGGGGTTGTTTGGGTTAAAGTGTTTTTAGCACAGTTGCACAAGCCGCATGAGTTAAGGAATGATTCAGTTGCTCGGATAAGATAAGTTTGTTCAAATCACTAACTCCAAGTAAGATCTCTAATAATAGTGATTCTCGACTAAAACCCCACTAGCTAAGCAGCTCCTGGTTTACTTGCACCTCTCTCTTCTCTTCAGACTCCTGTGTTGGGTTCGCTTCTGGAAATGTAAAATAGAAGATTCTTGTCCTCCCACATGCAGACTATTGTTCGGAGAACTTGCGCTCTCTCTCTCTCTCTCTCTCTCTCTCTCTCTCTCTCTCAGTATTAGTCTTAGAGCCTGTTCTCATCGTTTCTCTTCTCTTTCATAATGTACTTTCTGTTTCTTATCCATTCTCTCTTTTCACACCTTCATATTTTGGTTGTTCTTTTGTTTTTTCGCTGTGTGTTTGCTGTGATGATTTTGTTCTGGGATATATTCAGTGACTAAGTGTGACTCTGTGTGTATGACTGTTTGCCCAGCAGAATATTTGATTGCTCAGATGTTGCTCTTTTCGTAGGGCTGTTAGTGATTTTATAATAGCACACAGAATGCCACTGGGTCAATGGCAAATAAAGCTTCAGGCTTTTTAAAAATCTTTTCAAAATTGATGTAATGTTTGACTCATATTTTTGAGTCAGGGACAGTGTGTTTGAAACCAATTTCAATTGTACTCAGGTAGTTAATACATTATTATTTTGTGGTTGTGTGTGTTTTATTAATATTCATTTATTGCATTCTAGTGGCCCAGTATTTGTAATCTGCTGATTTTACTTTTGTTTGTGACATTATTTTTTGGAGGCTTTTAAGCATGAATTGGACTACTGTCCCTGTCTATGGAGGCAAGACATACATCCATCCATCCTTCCATCCATCCATCCATCCACCAACCCATCCATCCATCCATCCATCCATCCACCAACTCATCCATCCATCAACTCATCCATCCACCAACTCATCCATCCACCAACTCATCCATCCACCCACCCATCCATCCATCCACCCATCCATCCATTCACCAACTCATCCATCCATCCATCCACCTATTCATTCATCCACCAACCCATCCATCCATCCATCCATCCATCCATCCACCAACTCATCCATCCATCCATCCACCAACTCATCCATCCACCCACCCATCCATCCACCCATCCATCCATCCATCCATCCACCAACCCATCCATCCATCCATCCATCCATCCACCAACTCATCCATCCACCAACTCATCCATCCACCCACCCATCCATCCATCCACCCATCCATCCATTCACCAACTCATCCATCCATCCATCCACCTATTCATTCATCCACCAACCCATCCATCCATCCATCCATCCATCCACCAACTCATCCATCCATCCATCCACCAACTCATCCATCCACCCACCCATCCATCCACCCATCCATCCATTCATCCATCCACCAACCCATCCATCCATCCACCAACTCATCCATCCATCCATCCACCAACTCATCCATCCACCCACCCATCCATCCACCCATCCATCCATTCATCCATCCACCAACTCATCCATCCATCCATCCACCAACTCATCCATCCATCCATCCACCAACTCATCCATCCATCCATCCACCAACTCATCCATCCATCCACCAACCCATCCATCCATCCATCCATCCATTCCAATATTTTGAAAAAATCCATACATGAACAAGATATTTTGAAGTCAATGAATAGAGTCCATCAACTATTTGGTTACTGACTTTCTTCCAAAAAGATCCTCTTCTGTGTTCAGCAGAAGAAAGAAACTCATACAGGCTTGGAACAACTTGAGTGTGAGTAAATTATGTAATTAATTTTTGTAAAAAATTATGTAAAAAATTAAACTATCCCTTTACATTTACACTTACATTTAGTCATTTAGCAGATGTTTTTATCCAAAGCGATTCACAACTGAGGACTAAACCAAGCGAGTTTAAATGTTTTAAAATCCAGTTTGATTTTCATGCAAAAGGAGTATATCCAAAAGTTTTCTTTTAACGGTGGGAATTTGGGTTGAGTTAATCTGTAGTCATTACAATTAGTTAAACTTAATTAAAAAACGTCCAGTTGAAGTCCATGGGGTGTTCTTATTTAGATATCTACTGAAGTGTGTG